GCCGAGCGCCGCGGCTAGGACGGGCTAGGGAGCCAGGCGTTGGGCCATTTGACCAATGATAACCATGCACAATGTTGATGAGGGGGGGCCGGGTCCAAAAATCGTTCTCTAAGAAATACACTAGTATCGTTTGCTAGGGTTTAAGTTGACGGAAAAAAAACATTTATAACTTAATTTCTTAAGTTCTTAAACTGTTGCTGAAAACACTACTTTTCACCTGCCGGTCACAACATTTATATTATTAGACCTGCCCTACTGACTGTGATGTATATATAGTTGTACTACTGTACCAGTTGGCGACAGGTTTGTGAATTGTGATTACTGATTAGTCAGGAGGTTCCTTCCATCAAAATTTTAATATTCGGTAGAAACAAATTCTAGTCTCTACGCATAGTCGATTTATTTCTATCAGAACTCAACTAAAACAAGACAGAAAATATATTTTTTAATTGAAATATATTTTCTAATTTTATTTTAAAACTTATTTTCTTTGTCTGGATGTAACTCATGTAACATTCAAGAATAGATAAAATGCATTATAACTATTTTGCGTAGAATCCTGACTTTTAAAAATGTAACAAATGGTTGACCTACCCATCCCCTACGACCGGAGATGTACTCAGTGGATGGGGAAAAGGAAAATTACCGTAGATACAGGTCTATGTTTTCAATAATGCGGAATTTCGATAATTTCCTAGAGTACGCCTTTTGCACCCATCAATCCCCACCCCCACCCCTTAAGTAGAAAGACTTGAAAACGTCTTTGATCTCTGAACTAGTTTGCGGCAACCTAACTTTATAAATATTTTTAATGAAACAATAAGAAATGCAATATTCTTAGTTGTCACATTTTCAAAAAGTAGTCTGCTTGTGCTGTGCTTTCACAGTTTTGGTTTTATTTATTAAAATGAAATCTAAATCAAATTCTATATCTCTTTTAAAAGCTTAAAACGGTAGATCACATTTTGGACAAGGTTTATTTTGTGATGATTGTTTCATGAAAAATATCTCGAAAATTAGGTTTCCGTATAAAGGTTACTATATACTAAATGTTTATATCAACAATCAACATGTATGCAGAACTAAGAAATATATAAAATATGTTTCTAGATGTCTGGAGGCACTAGAGAAGCTGAAGGCAGGGGGTAAATTTAACGAGATAGCAGCTACGTACAGTGAAGACAAGGCGAGGTCAGGAGGATCCTTAGGCTGGATGGTGAGTTCATATTTAAAGGGACTGTAAGCGTAATTTCAAGTGACCCTCCATGCAAAGATGACAATACCCGATTTTAAACGGTTCCCTTGAAAGCTTTTCATTTGCGATTTCTATGCAACAGTGACCTAATTTCAAGTCTTTAAGAAGCAATGGAGAAACTAACAGAAATAAACACCTTTGGGCATTGCCATATTTCCATTAAGCGTCATTTAAAATTACGCTTATAGTCACTTTGATGGAAATTATCAAACCATTAACCTCTCATCTTTCCCCCCAATTTTCCATTACGAAAAATAAACACTCTTTTTATTGTGTGTCAGACCCGCGGATCAATGGTTGGACCTTTCCAAGATGCCGCCTTTGCCTTGCCCGTGTCAAGCCTTGGAAACCCAACCTACACGGACCCCCCTGTCAAGACCAAGTTCGGATACCACATCATTATGGTTGAGGGGAAGAAATAATTTTATCCTTTCAGTCAAAATGTCAAGGAAAGAAGAGGAGTATAATTTTAATATTCTCTTCATCAAAAGGAAGACAAAAATAATTTCATTAACAAATACTTCGTAATGCTTAGAAGATACGTTTACCAAGAAAATTTGTGTTATGAGATAAATTCAATGTTTTTGTTAAAATCTCCAGATTCTGGAGATTACACAGAGTTTTCTTTCCTGGCTTGCTCTCTGTTAATACCGGAGTATTTGGTCTTCTTCTCCTTACATCAGGATTAGAGCAATTTCTCGCATACAGGGTTGGAATCATTTCAGGTTAAATCTCACTATTTATTCATCTTTTTTTTAACATTGGAAAGTTAGTGCGCATCTCCCTGTCCTGCCCCCTTTAATCTTATGTGTAAAGCTAAAACCTGTTGAATCCTTGAAATCAATTTAATTGTTATCTACATTGCTCAATCTGTTCTTAAAAACAAGATATTTTTGTTTTTTGTCATCAATAATATTTTATAATTTAATTTTAAAATGTAACATGAACATGTAAACTGTAACTACCCAATTAAAGAATAAGTTCCCAATACTTATTTACTCCCAGGTAAATTCTTTAATGTTCTTGGAAGCAAAAACTTGGAAGAGTTTAAGAGCCTGTGTATTCTCAGTATTCTCATTGTTATTGGAATATCCTTTACCATTTCCGCCAGGTAATTAATATTCAATATTTTATAGCATAGTCATCCCATTCAAGGGAATAATTGATAATATTTTTTTAGATCTAACATTTTAAAGAAATTTAATGTGAAAGAAAAAATGACTTTCTTTGATAAAATTAGCTTTAATCAAGAGTAATTTTTTTGAAAATTATATGTGAATATATTGTAAAATCTTTAATTATCTTCTTGGGATCTTAAAGGTTTTTAATAATTGCTTAGAACTGTTCGTCCATGTAATTGTTCACGGCATGAGGCAAAATTATTTTAATTTGAATACAAAAACGTGTCTAATTTCAATTTTGATTTTCATAAGAAAAATCATCAATATTATTTTCATTAACCAGCATAAAATATTGTATTTAATTAGAGTTCTCACAACTAAAACCTTACAAGTTGGTTGGAGACAAACATTGTGCCAGGTAAATTTAAAACAACATTGCCATTTCGAAATTTTAGAAAAGTTACAATTTTGTCCATAATTTCTTTTAATTGGATAGAAAAATTGATTTATAAAGTTTTACTCAATTTCTTGCCAACACTCTTCTCTCTGAATCATAACCCCCCAATACATCTATATAAATGGTTACAAAAACCCTTCTGCTATTACTTTTTATTTTAATCTTTCACAGACTTCATTACAATCAAATATTCTTGATTTGAAAGCATTTCCTCTCTTTTGCTATTTTGACGGGAGTTTAGGCTATAATCCGTCTTCATGAGACTACTTGTATTTCTTACTTATATTCGGTCCGTTAACATTTTGTTGCGTTTTGGGGTAAATATCATTTCTTTACCTTTAAGTGATTTTTTGAGCGTTTGTCCGGAAATAAACACAATTATGGCAGGAACGTTTTTATAGATTATTTTCTTTTCAAGAAGTGTTGTATCTAAATTCTTTTGTAACTTATCTCAAGCGATAACAGCTGTAGCGATTTGCTTGGTTCAAAGTTTATCTTGCTTTTTCAAAGCTATTCTTTGAGTATATTCTGTCATTATTTATCAATGTTGTTCCAGGCTCATAGTTTGATTTGACAAAGTATTAAGTTAATAGGTATTAATGGCATTTTATTTAGTACCCTTTTTCCCCCTATTGAAGTAGGTAGGTCCCTGTAAATTTATTTTATGATGGGATACTATTGGTTTTAAAAAAATTCATAAATTTCCAGTTTTAATTACATCTTTGTTGAAAATAAATGAAAAGATGGTTTTGAAATGTTCCCTTTGGGTCCTGAGCTATCTTTATTTAACATTAAAACCTATTAAATACAAGATGCTTTATTCTTTATTGTAGATGCTTCACCGTCTCTACTTATCCAACTCCAATTACTACAGGTAAAATTAAGTTTTATTTCTCTTTTCAGAAAATTCTATTTTGATTTAAATTCTTAAAGTCTTCAACACATTATTTTAGATTGAATGTGTTGGATGGCAGTATAGACAATCCTGATCAGCGAATTAGTTCGGATGTTAGGTTAGCATTTTTTTTCTAAGATTTTTATTTTCGTAAAAATAGTAAATTTAATATCTCAAAAACGAAAAAAATACCAAATTTGCAAAAAACAAAAAAGGACCAAAAAACTAGAAAACTTAAGAAAAACCTTAAAAATAGAAAATAAAAGACGATTCATAGAAAAAGCCTAAAAAAGGAAGACTTAAGAATTTTACCAAAGAAAGTTTGATTGTAATCATAAAATAATCTTTATTCTCCTATTATACTTATTATTTGGAGACATCACAACATAAACAAACCATTTTTAGTTCATTAGTTGAGAGTTACAGCAGTATAATTTCTTCTCTGGTAGTTACCCCCTTCACAATAGCTTACTATACATGGGACGCCTATACCAGGTAATTATACAATACTAGGGTGTCCACGGATGAACAACTTTTGAAAATTTATGCGCGCAGTAGCTTTTCCCAATCCCATTGCAATGTGCAATCTAAATTTTTAGCTCAATATCTCTAGGATATCATCGCTGATAAAGTTTAAAAAGGCACTACGTAGCTCAAAAAAAAATTCTTGAATTTATCATGTTATAGAGGACGTGAGTCAGACTCTAATAAAATGCATAAATAACTTCCAGTATATATATTTCTTATAACTTATTACTAGAGGGTTCAGAACTAGAGTCAATATCGATATCGCACGTGTAGACTGTAGAGATGATATCAGTACTAATGCCCCGTATCCGTTCTATCTCATTCTGTTGAATCTTGTGGAACTAGTTTAACGCGGCCAGGCATCGTCTTCCACAATGTCACAAATCATTTTCTTCGTAATTGTCCAAAAAGATTAAATCCGTTGAAATTTTTGAAAATTTTTAAGAATTGACTTGAGTTAAGTTAAAAAGAAAAATTTTTAAAACTTTTTTTGACCTAACTCATTTATTTTCAATATTTAAGAAAAATTCCAACCGAGCTGAGTTCCCTGATTGAAAACGAAGAAATTGATATGTAACATGCTAATTAAAAAAAAGGATTTACTTCCTTCAGCAGTTTTTAAGACTTTGGAGGTGTTTATCTAAAAGCTGTCAACCTAAGATTTTCAAGAATTATTCACGGTATGTAGTGCAATGAGGAACGTTACCGCGCCGCGCTCATCGCGTGCGCCATTTTTCAAATTAGTGATCATTTGTGAAGACCTTACTATACAGGAGTGTTTGTTTTTCAGAAGCCCCCCCCCCCTCATTTTGTTTCGGAAAGTTAACGACAAGTATTTATAGTTTCATGAATAATTTGATTTTTGTAGAACAAATTTTGATGGAAGAAAGGAATTGAAGCAAATACAAATTTGAGACGCGGCTCTTTAAATTCGATCTTTGAATCTTGTCCGTGGTAATTTGATAAAATTCTATTATAATAATTTAATTTATGAAAACGATCGATTAACATGGACTAATTTAAACCAATTGCTACAAGTGTTTATAGTTTGTCAACAATCCACGCAAACATGTGCTCAGGCAAATTTAGTCATTTCAAAGTGAACATTTCTGAATAAATAAAGTTTCCTTAAAGGGATTGTAAGCGTAATTTCAAGTGATCCTTCATTCAAAGATGTGAATGCACTGTGTACGTATAGTCAGTCTCAACTCAATACAGCGCAGCGCCCACTGGCATGTTCAGCTGACTACAAGCGTGTAGGTAACTTACACACACATATCTCTGTACACGACAAACACACATAGGTTTTAAGGGTACCGTTGAAAATCGGGCTTTTCGGCCCTCTTTGCATGGAGGGTCACTTGAAATTACGCTTACAATTTCTTTAATCTCCTACACAAAGTGGTTGTCTATTCTTCATAATTATTAAAGGTTTTAATCAAAATTTAAATATGATCGTGTAGAGCTGGTTGGATTGGTCCTACAGGGATGTATATTCTGTTTGTTGTGAGTACTATTGTGAACAAGTTCCTTATGAAGCCTGTAGTTCATATAACTGTGGAGAGGGAGAGAAGAGAGGGGGACTTCCGGTTCAAACATGTTCAGGTTAATTTCAAATTTATTCTCAATATAATTAAGCTCTTCCCTCATATATATATGTTAGCTAGAGCTGGCTAAACGGCTGGACCAAATTGGCTGACAATTTCTAGGAAACCCATGGTTACCTTGGAGGTAACATAGCCTAAAGAAACTAGTAACTTTTTTTTATAAATTAGAATTTTTTTAACGTGTTTTTTTAAATTCCTCGGGCAACGCCCTTCGTACCCATGGGTTTCTTCAAAGAAATGTCAGCCCATTTGGTCCAACCGTTTAGCCAGCTTTAGCTAATATGTAAATATTTTCTGTACCTGTCTGGTGTCCCTGGCAAGAGGGAGACAAATTGGTTCTGGAAAAAGTACAAATGAAAGCTGTAACAATGATCTCAGGTCTGCAAAGCAAGGAGTATGAGGATAGGCTAAAAGAGCTTTGTCTTCAATCTTTAGAAGAAAGAAGGATTAGATATGACATGATTCAAGTGTTCAAACTAATGCACAATTACGACGATGTGGACAGGAGACAGTTCTTCCAGACTGCAGAAGAAGAATCAGTCAGGGTTGCCAGGCAATCTTCTGATGCATTAAATATACCAACAACCAGATGCAGGACTGAGGTTAGAAGAAATTTCTTCACCAACAGAGTAGCGGAGAAATGGAACAAATTACCAGAATATATCAAAAGAGCAGGAAATATTAAAACTTTCAAGTACTTATATGATAAAATACCGGAACAGCAGGAATGAGAAACCTATGAGTAAAATGCTGGATACATAAAGACGTCATCTCTATGCTCCTATTTGGAACTCTGATGACAAATCTACAAAACTAAACTATCATATATATATTATAATTGAGAAAAGAGCTTTATTTTATAGATTAGCTGAATTAGATGAAGTGCCTCGCAAAAAAGTTAAATCTTGAAAAAAAAACTTCAATTTTTTAGCCTTTGTCAACCCATGAGTACCCAAGGGTCCCCCCCCCCCCCAAAAAAAAAGGAAGCCAATTTAGTCAGCTGTTTGGCCAGTTATAGCTTACATGCACGATAGCTTTCATAGACCGTTTATTTCCTCTCCTGATTTTTCCTCCGTATTTAGGTGCGATGTAACGCAGAGTCTTTGGCCTTTCATGGATCTGCTTCTTCTGAATTGACTAAGGAACCATTTTTAAATGATTATTTGAAAGCAACTATTTATAACATTGTTATTTTGGTTCCCAGTGTTATAAAGTTTTTGGACAGAAATTTTCTCTTTATCGAGAAGGTTTAACAAGTCTTTTCAGATTTATAATTAGCGAGGGACAAAATATAATCTAAAAAGGTGAGAACCTTCGAGGTCTCGAGAAAATTTAAGTCCAAAAACTTTATAGCACACGTGCTGTAATGTACAGTTAATTTAACTTTGTAGAACGATGATTACTTTTTAGTACGTTCATTATGAAATTCACGATGAAGTGAGGAAGAAGGATAAAGTACACAATAGTTTCATAAAATAATATTGTAATTCTATTAAACCCATAACTATTTTTGAACCTTCTTACTATTTATATTTATTCTATAATGAATTCTTGGAAAGATTCTTAAATTTTTAATTTTGTTATTATTACTGAAAGTAATTCTTCCTTGGAAATTAAATAACAAAAATGGTGTTGCTAAGGTTAATAACAAGTTGTCAGAAGTTTGCGGAGTTCAACAAAAACTGTTCAATCGAAACTTTATTATTGACATTTCTGTCAATATGTTCGCTTATATAGGTAATCATTTTTGATTTTTGTTATTATGTTGCGTTGAGAAATATATGCACACTGGGCACACACATATGTCAGTAACATGTTTTTTTACCGTTTTGTACAGTGTACAGTGTACACCACCAATCTACATAATTTGTAATTGAAAAAAAAACTTTATTAATTACAATTTAATTTTACTTTAAGAAAAAATTTTGTAGAATTTTAATAATTTTGTATTAAATCATTCACATTCTTTATAAAAAAAACCCCCAAATTATGCAAAATGCATCATGCATGCTCAAATATCTGATTATTGCAACTGCATGACAAATCTTAAAAAGTTTTAATTTTTAGTTGAGTAAGTCGGCAGGTTGAGTTTTATTTTCGTCATAATTTTTCTTTGACACATTCTATTTTTAAGCTGATGGTTTCATATTCAGGTGCTATAGCGTCCTACCTAGTGATCTCAGTGCCTATTTTTGCAGGAGTTTATGATTCATTATCAGGTAAACTATTTTACACTTTCCACTTTGGAAAAATATTAGCCACCCCCCCCCCCCCAAAAAAAAACATTGATTTTTTGAGGGAAAAGGGCCCAACTGTACTTACATTTTTCAGTTATTTTTAAACTAATTTTGTAGGTGCCGAGATATCTCAGATGATTTCTGAGAATGCATTTGTGTGTATATACCTCGTCTCTCAGCTGACTAAACTGGTCTCCATCACGGGAACCGTGGCTAGCATGGCAGGATCCACACATAGGTTCATTTTCACATTTTTTATCCTGAATCTCTCTTTTAAGATATTTATTAACCCAGGCACAAAACAGGTTCAATTACAATTACATACATATTAAATAATTCAAGTTGACTGTCGAACATAACACATTACACTTTACACTTCACACCTTATAAATTAGAGCTTAGGATCCGCAACATATTGGCTTGCTGGATGCGGATCCGGATCTGCAAAAATATGCGGAACATCTTATTCGATTCAATAGTGCAAACTATTTATCAAAAGCTACAAAAAAAGCTTGTTGCTCTTGAAACGCAAATCTCAACTGTTAACTAATAAGAGATTACAAAAAAATTCCTAATCTCAAATCTCAACTGTTAACTAATATGAGATTACAAAAAACTTCCTAATCTCAAATCTCAACTGTTAACTAATAAGAGATTACAAAAAACTTCCTAATCTCAGTGGACTCAGTGATCTATTAAGTTTCATCATAACAATAAGCGGAAAAATTGTAATATCATTTTTTAAATAACATTTTTAAAAATCGATGATTCTTGAAGACATGTTCACGACCTGAATTATCTGGGACTGAATCCGGATCCATTTTATTGGGGGTGGATCATGAAGCCGGATCCATTTTATTCGGGTTGGATCATGAATCCGGATCCATTTTATTGGGGGTGGATCATGAAGCCGGATTCATTTTATTCGGGGTGGATCATGAATCCGGATCCGCATCAACATGAAATGGATCCAATGCAATGATAGAAGCAATACATGAGACGTTTAACGATTCATATTACATTTTACACCTGACACGACGTTCACTTCTTTTTTCAGGGTGTGTGAGTTAGTTGAAAGGCTGGTTAAGTTTGGCAAAGAAGCAGATTTGTCTCCATCTACCTGCACTACCACACCACCTTCATCCGCTCAACCATTCGATCCACAATCTTGCTCATCCCCTCACCCACCCTCTTCTCCAACATTTTTGACAGAACATTCTGAACCATCTGCTTTAGGAATATTTATTTAACCTACTTTTTAATTCGTAATTACAATAAGCAAATGATTGTTGAAGTGTTGAAATATGTAAAACTGGCTTTCTATTTTAACTTTTTATTGTGGCCCATCTTTAAGCTTTTCCTCTTCGTACAATTTAAAACAATAACGATGAAGTCCTTGGATTAATAATTTTTTTCTCGCAAATTTTCAAAATTTTCAAAAATCAAAGTTTTTTAGGAGACAACTTTATGTAATTCTGAGCATCCATAAACCTTCCTTGGGGTCATGTGAGTTACCATATAAAATTTGGACCCGATCAGTTCAGCAGTTTTTACGTTTATTGAATACTAACAGACAATCAGACAGACAAGCAAAGTATATATAATATCTATAGATGGATTTTATAATGTAAATGATAAATATAATTTTCAAGAAACAGTTTGCATAGTTGATACGTCCGAAGAAATAGGAGACACACAACAAATCTCGAACTTGAAGGAAACTCTTGAAGACCCTGTAATATACAATGATCTTGACAGAGGAGAAATGAATGATGTTTTGCTCGAATTTCTCTGGTTCAGTTTATTCTCTCCTCGAACTTCTTCCTCTGAACCCGAACTTCTAATCCGTAATCTTAATCTCAAGCTCATCAAGGGACGGTATGTAAATAACTATCTTTTTAAATGCTTTTATCTCAGTTTAATTATTATCATTTGCATTTTTCAACTTCTACTTTATTTCAAAATTACTTAAAAGTCGTAGCTTTTCTTTTTAAATTTATACACACCTCGAAATTACACAAAAAGGACATGCAACATTAAAATTATGAGGGGAAAACCTCTGAAACTGACTGAGGCATTCATATTTAAATTTTTTTAGTAACCTATTGATTATGGGCCCGAGTTCCTCTGGTAAATCAAGCTTACTGCGTGCAGTTCGTGGTCTTTGGAAACCAGCCCAAGGAGAAGTAATCATTAACAGGAATTGAATAAAATAATAATTAAATCAGTCCTTTGCTGAAAACTCTGGTAACGGAGACCCTTAATCCTAATTACTAAATCTCTTTATCCGGTGACGACACTTATGATTTTCTGATTAATCCTCTATTAAGGATATCTTAGCTTTTTTTTTCGGACCAATGGGAGTTCTCTCTTTGATTACGCGCCAAAATTTTGAACTTTCTGGCTTCTAATTGGTTGTTCGGTTTCTACAATCAACACTGATTGGTTGCAGTTTATACAATTTCCCTGATTTTAACCTAAGATTAAATTCGTCTGAAGATTTATAAAAAGAGGAGATCTCGACATCCACAATGTTTTTTTCTTTTTGTCAGTTTTTATCAAGTTTTTTTCTCTAATTTTTCCAAGATATTTTAAGATTATTTCCTTGTCTCTTAATTTTTTTTAACAATCAACAATTTTTAACCAATCTTTTAATTTGTTCAATGTAGAGAACTAGAACACAGATTCTTCTTCCTACCTCAGAAACCATTCTTTACAAATGGAACTCTTAGAGAACAGGAATATTCTCAATTCATCAAAATTGTGTGTTTACATTTGTCTCCATCAAAATTCGATCTTCGTTAAATTTTTGAAAATTTTGAAAATCCACGAATTTTTTTTTGTGAAAATCCGCGAATTATTTTTGTTTTGTTTTACGATGGCCACAAAGAGAACATGTTCACAATTAATTCAGTAGATGGGCGCGAAGCGCCCTCTAAGGCTAGTATTTATAAATTCCATGTTGCAAGTTGAATCCTAATAACATAAAAACTCGGATATGATTCACTAAAACCCAAGCTGACTTGGGGAAGTGACGAGGAGCTCAACTCTGGAGCTCAATATAACAATAACATAGCCTGCAGGACATGATACCTTGACTGTAGGTTGAATGATAATAATAATAATAAAAATAATGCACTTGCACAGTCAACCATTTTCCAAGAAAAACTGAAAAAAAATTCTTATTTATAATTTCCAAGTGGAAGAGCAAGCTAAGCGCGAAGGAGTATTTGAGCGATTGTACAGCCAAGCTTATTTTGACCTGTCAACGCCAAAGCATACTCTACATATGTATTTTACTGGCGTAACAAATCAAAACCTTACCTTTACTCTTTGTAAAATTTTGTTTTTATTTGTTTGTTAAAAAATACCAAAACATTTAAGTAAAGATAGCTAAGGGGTTTCATGTGGAAAATCTGCAAAAAAGACGAGTTACTTTTCTCAATCTATATTCTAGGAAATGAATTGAACCTTTTTTTAGAATGATTCCAATATGCAATGTCAAATGGTTCTTGAGTTATAATCGGACATACAGACAAATAAACAGAGATTACTACTTAATATATATTGGTACTTTAAACAGGAGATTATGTATACACAGAAATAGACATGGATATTGAATAATGTATTGTTGCGGTAAAAATATTTCCTACTGCATGTGTATCAATAATGAACATGTGATGGATCAAGTGACACTTGGTTTGATTTAGTTTGAACGCGAGAACGTAGACTAAATTGTTTAACAGCAGATTCACTTAATTAGTTTCCCTCGTGGTCCAGATTTGAAGTGAGGTCCAATTTTTTTACTCAAGGACTAGTGAATGTATGGAATAATTTGACAGGAGATATTAAAAACTCTAGAAATTAAAACGATATGGTGGAGACATTGTTTAAATAAAAATAGTGACAAAAGTAGTTATATTTAGATTCGATAGATTCAGACTCTACTCAGATATTCTTAATATAAATGGGACCTAGAGATTAATTTACCGATATTACCTAAAAATTAACTATATATTTACTATTTGCCAGGATTTACCAAGGATATATTAAATTGACAACTTTACCGGGAATTCACTAAAAAATCCCAAACATGAAATATCTGGAATCGCTTTCGCCCCCATTAGAGCGAATACAAATTTATTTACACTGTACTCTGGGAGAAAAATTTTAAAAAATCAGGAAAGAACAAGATTAATAATGTTGCTTAAAATGGGATACAAATTATACATTTAGGATTACTGGATAGATGTGGTGGGTTGGATACTGAACCTAATTGGTCGTGGTATGATGTGTTGTCTCCAGGGGAGCAGCAAAGACTTGCCTTTACTCGTCTTCTTTACCATGATCCTGCTCTAGCTGTCCTAGATGAAGCTACGTCAGCTATTTCTCAGGTCAGCATTAGAAAAAGAAATTAAGTTGTTGTCAAAGAGATTATAAAAAATATTTATTAAGATATTATAATCATTAGGATTTTAAAGATAATTTAATAAAAAAAATGTTACGTTCTATAATCTATATATATAATAAAAAATATTTCTGATGTCTAATCTAGCTTTTAGTTTAAAAGTAGAAAAAAATAACTAATTATAAGAAAAACATTAAGTAGCTTAAAACCCGAAAAAGTTGTTTTAATGTTACTGCATACTTTATCATGGCTAGATCCTATTAAAATTCAACATTTTTCCAAAAAATGTTTTATTCATCCTCAACTGGACTTAAAAAACAGAATACTTTTAGGATGTTGAATCCCGGTTGTATGATTGCTGTTTAGAAAGAAAAATAACTCTGCTAAGCGTCGGTCACAGGGAATCATTGAAACAATTCCATCATCAAGTAAGCATTTAGAATATACCAGCAGGGCTTATGATCCAGAAATCGTTGGATCCGCAAAATAAGCTGATCCGGTCCAAGGTACTTTAAAGTAGACCAAAAGAAGCCTACACTGGAAAATACTTCATGCGGCTTATTTTCAGATTTTTTTTTTAAAGGTTAAAGAAAATGTATGGTAATTAAATTTTATAGCGAAATAAAACAGAAAATAATTAAATATATTTAAATAAAATTTTATTTGTTGGATTCGGACCATTTTCTCTATTTTTGTTTTTAGATACTGGTTAAAATCTTTTTCTAAATAAAATGTATAATAAAATCATGAAGTGTCGCTCGATTTCTTCATTTATTAATTCTAGGTTGTCAATCTGAGTGGAGAAGATGGAGAATGGAAAATGGAAGACATAGTATCCGACAAACCTGGAGATAAGGGGGCTACAAAGCTAAACAGAGTTTGGCCGAGTGCTCCAACATTGTTGTAAATTTGAGCTAGAAAATCCACTAGATCGACGTGAAGTTTATTAGAATTCTATTAGAAACGTCGGGCATTTTGTTATTAAATTATATTTTCTAGTCATTTACAATCCAAAGATATTTGCATTGATATGAAAATTTAGTGTTGAGTTGGTATTACAGATTATTTAACTAAATTGTTCTATTTCGGCCACTTTTAAAATACTTAAAAACGCACTAAAATATTACCAAGAACTATTTTTTAAATAGATTAAAAAGCGCTAAAGAGTTTTTAGTTTTGCCTATACATTTTATGAAATATGTTTGATATTGTTAAAGCTGAAAAAAGGTTGATAATATTTATATAATTTGTGAAACTGCTCAAGTATTTTTTTGTATCTTGTTACGTACTCAAATTTTTATTTTCAGAAACCTTTCACAAGATGACCTAAGTTTAAAAGGGTTTTGAGGGGGAATTGTATAGAAACTTAATTCCGAATACAACATTAGTTTTTGGATTGGATCAGATGGGTGATGAGAAAGTTGTACTAGGAGGTAGAGATGGACAGTGGACACGTTCGACTTTTTTCATTTTGTTCGTTCATCGTTTGTAAACGACCCATTTTGTTAGTTTTTTTTCAATCGTTCAAAAAAATTATCTCGTCCACTTTTAAATTTGTTGTTCATTTCCCATCTATTTCGTTCGTTTTCTCATTCACCAATCGTCAGTAAAATCGTTCGTTTATATAAAATCGTTAGTTCATTAAGAAAACGAGAGTATTTTCAAAAGTTTTTGTTTTAAATCGTTCATTCAGTAAAAAAGCTATGGTTGTTTTAAATTTTGTTCCAAAAATCATTCGTTCAGTAAAAAACCGATCGTTTTTTTCCAAAATTTGTTGGAAAATTCGTTCGTTCAGTATTGATATGATAGTTTTTTCAAGTTCTTTTGAACGATTTAAAATCTTTCTTTTTTGTTGGTTTTTTAAAGAACGATTCATTTCGTTCGTTCATCGTTGGTTTTTGTTGCCTGAACGACACCCTTTTCCACGAAAAATTTCGTTCGTTCTAAATAAAGTCGTTTGTTCAAATAAACGATGCCCATCTCTTCTAGGAGGTGGACTGGAGGCTCGGGCAGGAGGAAGTCTGGTGGATCAAGATAAAGTTGGGTCAATGCAGTTCGGAAACCAGGAGGAGAATAAACCTAATCAGAAATCAAGACTGAAGGTTACAATTAAGTAGGATTTTTTAATTCTTATTTAATGGTTTAAAAACGTCCTTATTATATTTGCTCAGTATCTGCCATGCCTGGTATTGGTCGTCAGTAATAAAACATAAGATTTTTTTAAATGGAAAAACTTGCTGTTTAATGCATAGACCAACATAATTTCTAAAACCAAAAAAGTAAATTGACAAAATTTTTAAAATGTAATTTTTCGATTTTTCCAGGAGTGTATATTTTTGACAGAAATAATTTTTTAAAATTTGGGAGAAAACAATGAAAAATTGGGAAATCAAAAGGAAACTTTTTTATGTTTATTATACTTCTTTCGCTAAAATTTATTGAGTTTTCTGTATAAAATCATCTATTTTCCCAATTTAGCGAAATAATACCATAACAAATACAAACTACTTTTAAAATGAGTTTTTAAAAAATGAGGTGGGGGAGGGGAAAGAAAATGATTTTTTTCCGGAACATATGCACCTAGCTCTGTTGATTGCTTGATTTTTGATTTATTACTTATTTAGAAGCTGGAACGGAGTAGCTGTTTGGAAATGGTTGGCAAACGATGACACCTGTGGGATATGCAGATTCCCTTTCCACGGCTGTTGTCCTGATTGTAAATATGCAGGTTAGTTACAAGCTCACATCACACATGCTTTCCTTACTTTTATTTCCTCAACTAAATATTCTAAAGTGAACGGGCTCAAATTTGATCGTAATGGCTTGAAACTTCGCAAAACTAAAATCTGAAACTTGAATTTTTATTCTTTCAAGAAACCGGACTGACTTGACACTCACATACACAACTGGAGTCTAAGTCTATTTGTCTGTGATTTGATTTCGATTCGATTTGATTTCAATTTGATTTGATTCGACTTGATTCGGTTCGTTTCGATTTGGTTTGGTTTGGTTTGTTGGTTTGGTTTGGTTTGAATTGGTTTGGTTTGGTTTGGTTTGATTTGATTTGATTTGATTTGATTTGATTTGATTTGATTTGATTTGGTTTGGTTTGGTTTGGTTTGGTTTGGTTTGGTTTGGTTTGGTTTGATTTGATTTGGTTTGATTTGATTTGATTTGATTTGATTTGATTTTATTTGTTGAGGTGATGATTGTCCTCTAGTATGGGGAGAATGTACTCACTGCTTCCATATCCACTGTATTCTCAAATGGTTGGATACTCAACCCAACCAGCACTTATGCCCCATGTGTAGAGGAGAATGGAAGTTTCAAGAATCATCATGAGGAAAGAAAGCTTTTATTTAATTGATTAATAGCTCAAAAATAGATTCTAGAGAAACTGATTTTAAAAAATTAATTCTTAACTTGGCCTTTTTCTTATCCACTGAGAAATTCTGGCTCTTTTTGTGAAAAAGAAGATTTTAAAAACTAAGATAATTTTTTTGTTGTACAATTTGATATGCTTTCTTCAGGCTGTTTGCTTTAGCAATGTGTTTAACGTTTGTGATTAGTGAACCAGACTTTGAAAAAGAAATTAATGGCATCTGTGCTAATGGACCTAACTCGACAGAAACCGTGATAAAGTACAAAGTTGCTCGTGTACATGACGAATTTATAGTTCAGTTCAAAGGTTACTACAATACAGAGACTAGGAAACGGTTTATAACAACAGCTCTCTCCGCACATAATATTAGTTATACTGTTGTTCAAAGAACTAATCTCATGTCTAAATATCCAAGTGATTTTGATATAATATCTGGAGATCTCAATGAAAAAGGTTTATGTCGACTGCGTAAGCATCCTCTTGTTAAGTCTGTGACTCCCCAGCGACAAGTGACTAGAAGTCTGTCAGCTGTACCCTCCGAAACAGGTTATTTTATTCTACGAAAATATATGTTTTTAAACATCAGATCCTAAAATATTTCATTTATATAAATTAAAGGTTTAGTGGTATTAAATCAATGAAAATTGCAATAAATGAGGAAAGTTGCACATTTAAGGACATAAATTCACAAAATCTGATTTGTCAATTCTGATTTATTTTCTATCAGATTCCTGAAAAACAAGCTAAAAACTGGGGGGGGGGAATTAAAAATTTTAATTCCATTATGTTATCTGATACACAAATTTTAATTCAAAGGTCAGATAAAAATCCATCGATATTGTTCTAAAATATCTAAATCATCCTTTCATTTTGCAGCTGAAAATATCAAATGAAGGAAAAATAATCATGAAAGACTAAAAGTAAAACAAGAATTTAAAACTAAATTAACATTTCTCAGAGTGGGTTTAAAAGTTTTATAATAAATAATTTTGCTTATTTTCATCTTATTTTTGACTGTAAACTGTTTAACGCTTCTTGTAATAGTTAGTCATGTCTTTATGTTTGGAGTCCTTTGATCCTTAGTAGTATATTGGCTGCGCACACGTTTTAGCTTGAATTTAGACCTACAGGTCATGGTACTTTGTATGTAGTTTGATTGTTAAAATAATAATGATAATATTAAAGCTGATCAGTTATCATTAACCTCTTATAGTCTAATATACTATACGGGCCGACAGAAATGTTTAATGAAAACATGATGATAACTTTCAATTTAAGTGTTCTATCCAGGATGTAAAGAATGCCATGAGGGATCTTGGACTCATGGAAAGCGTAGTATTTCTCATTTATCCAGAGTCCTTCATGAATCAGGTAAGATACACATTTCTTATAACTTTGTAGATTTAAATAATAACCTGAACTGAATTAAAATATTTCAAAGAGTCGCCGAAACTCTAAATACATTTTAGATACATAATTAATAAAAGCGGGCATGCAAAATATTACTTACTGGACAATTTAGACAGTGTTTAGTGTTAACTGTTAACACATAACAAACTGAAATATAAGAGCTGGAAACTTTAGAATGGGGATATCCTTAATCCCAATTACTTAATCTGAGTATCTAATGTGCACACTTTTGATTTTCTTCTTAATCCTCTTTTTTTGGATATCCCTACTGTGTAAAAGTTACGTTTGATAACAAATACAGATACTGATTGAACTAATATCCGATTGAAATAAAGTCAGCTGTTCACATAGCGGCTTTTAGAGCATTTAAACAAATATTTTAATCATGTTAAAAAAACTTATTAAAAAACATATTTTATCATATTTGAGGACTAAAGCCATTTTGAACGATAGTCTTAATTAACATTAATCCAAAATTCACGTTCGTTTAATCGATCATTAGTTCAATTGATATGACACCATCAACACCAGAAATGCGTTAAAAATTAAAAACTGGTTTTTCAAAAGTTCAAGTGTGCATCTCTAATCTCTAGAAATTAATCTAAAGACTAAATTAGTCTTGAGATTAGCAAAAAGAGAGGATCAAGCATTGATCTTGGTATCCACTATTCTAAAGTTTTCAGCTCAGGATTAATACATTTTTTAAAGTTTATTGCTTAAAATTTAGTATTCTTTAACTACTCTGAGTTATGTTTTGAACAGTGTCTAAATTTTTTCGTTGAGAAATACGTTTCATACCCCCACCCCGTTGTTGGTTAAGAAATTAATGATACTGTATTTTAGGCAAACACTCAAGTAGAAAACTCCTACGTTCTATTCCTCGGCAGATCACATCAATCCTGAATGCGGATGTTTTGTGGGAAATGGGAATCACAGGGGCAGGGGTAAAGGTGGCAGTATTTGATACAGGATTAAGCAAAAAGCATCCACATTTCAAGCGAATAAAAGAAAGAACAAACTGGACCAATGAGAAAACTTTAGAAGATGGTTTAGGGCATGGAACATTTGTTGCTGGAGTAATTGCTTCAAGTAAAGAATGCCTTGGATTTGCTCCTAATGCAGACTTGCATATTTACAGGGTGTTTACAAACAATCAGGTGTCATACACATCATGGTTCCTTGATGCCTTTAATTATGCTATTATGAAAAAAATTCATGTACTTAATCTTAGTATTGGAGGGCCTGACTTTATGGATCAACCGTTTGTTGATAAGGTTTGGGAACTAACAGCCAACCATATAATCATGGTTTCAGCAATCGGAAATGATGGTCCACTATATGGCACCTTAAACAATCCAGCAGATCAAATGGATGTTATAGGAGTGGGAGGAATTAATTTCGATGATCAGATTGCTAAGTTCTCAAGCAGAGGAATGACAACATGGGAGCTGCCAGCTGGATATGGAAGGCTTAAACCTGACATTGTCACTTATGGTAGCACAGTGCGGGGTTCTAACCTAAAAAAAGGTTGCAGATCATTGTCAGGAACTAGTGTTGCTAGTCCAGTTGTTGCTGGAGCAGTTACCCTTCTCTACAGTGGAGTTCTACATCGTGGATCTGTAATTAACCCTGCTAGCATGAAACAAGCATTGATTGCTTCTGCAAGACGGCTACCAGGTGTTGGAATGTTTGAACAAGGGGCTGGTAAACTTGATCTTTTAAAGACATACCAGACCCTTACTACTTATACTCCTCAAGTCTCATTTTCTCCGCCATATGTTGACATGACTGAATGTCAGTATTTTTGGCCTTATTGTACTCAGCCCATGTACTTCTCTGGTCTTCCTACCATTGTAAATGTTACAGTTCTCAACGGGATGGGAGTATCAGGTGCTATAGTTGGAATACCAAAATGGCATCCCTACACACCACACATGGGTCATTATCTTGATATATCTGCAACTTACTCTGAACATATATGGCCCTGGGCAGGCTGGATAGCTCTACACATTACAGTACGATCAGAGGCTGCTGAGTTTGAAGGCATAGCTCAGGGGCATTTAACTCTAACTGTTAAGTCACCTAGAGCTGCTGAGGACGATCCTGATGATTTTATTTCCACAGTTTCCCTGCCAATCAGAGTCAAAATAATCCCAACTCCACCCAGGCACCGGAGACTCCTTTGGGATCAATACCATAACTTGAGATACCCACCTGGATACTTTCCAAGAGACAATTTAAAAATGAAGAATGATCCATTAGATTGGAATGGAGATCATCTTCATACAAACTTTAGAGAACTTTATCAACATCTTCGGGCTCAAGGATTCTACATTGAGGTGATGGGAGTTCCTATTACATGCATAGATATGTCCAAGTATGGAACACTTCTCATTGTTGATAGTGAAGAAGAGTTCTTTGTCGAGGAGATCAGCAAACTGCGGCGAGATGTAGATACAGGGCTTTCAATAATAGTATTCTCTGATTGGTATAATACTACTGTCATGAAGAAAGTAAGGTTCTATGATGAAAATACAAGACTCTGGTGGGTTCCAGACACAGGGGGCAGTAATATTCCAGCTCTTAATGAACTATTAGGTATGTGCATTGAACATACTTTCTTAAAATTATAGTAAATGTCGAGTGTCCCATTGTGAAAGGTCTAAGCTAAAAAATATCTAAAACACAACGAAAATAGTAACTTATATTAAATACAATTTCCTTTCACATTAAGGCACCTATCACAAAGCTAAAAGTACATATCTCTTTCCTGATTAAGTAAATTCATCTTGGGCATTATATGTGGCTAGGAGAAAGTCCCGAAAACACTGATTGATTGATTGATAAAAGTTATGCATAACCATTTGTATATTCATATTTCAGCTGGTTGGGGAATAGCATTTGGGGACAAAGTTCTTGATGGAGACTTCTCTTTGGGAAATCATGAAACGTCTTTTAGGTAATATATTTTATCAATTCATTTTTGAACACAATTTTTCCCCATTTTTGTTCGACTTCAATTCTTTTTTTTCTTTTTTTTAAATGAAAAAAAAATTGATTAGATCCTGTAGTGTGTATTAAACTATTTTTTTTAGTTCCATCTTTAATTTTCTCAAGCTGACACAAAACCAATTTTTATTATTTTAGCTCTGGCTCCAGCGTGGTCCGGTTTCCTCCAGATGGTCATTTAGTCTCTGCAGAGCTCGCGGTAAAATTAAACACCAATAATTGATCATTATTAAAATCAAAATGTCAACACAGTTTTTTTTTATAGTTAATACTTTCTAAATTTCGTTTTGGTTTAAATTGTTTATCCTGAGGCCGAATTAAAGAATTTGATCCGCGGTTTAAATTTAAGCCGCGGCTCAAATATGGTTGGTTTCACTTAAATTTGTATTAAATTTTTCAAGATTTAAGCCGGCGGTCAATTTTGGGGGATTTGAGACGTGGCTTAAATTCATTAAATTCGGTCACTGGAGTTTTAAATTTATGGAAAATAAATGTACTTTACGGGTTGTGGGTTGGGGAAGTGTCTATTAGAATTTAAACTTTTTCAATTCACATTTATATAGAAAGCGCAAGATATTAGAAATAGATTATCACCATTTAATTATTTATATTCCGTGAATTTTGTTATGCAATAAAAAGTTCTTAACTAAAACTTAAAGGGATTTAAGTGTAAGGGGTGGGGGGGGCATAACAGGTATTACTCTCCGGGAAATTTTAACAGTGTATAAACACAACTTAGCATTGTCCTAGGAGGCTGATTTTTTGCATGCAAGCTTAAAATTATGTATATTACATGCATTTTTTGGTTTTTTAACTTCATTAATTGCACTTGAACATTTATCCTGATACTCTTGAAAAAATTATGAGCTCCAAAAATTCACCTCCAAAGCCTTAAATGTCCGCGCGCGCAATAAAAGAAAATATCTTTGAATACTTATTTGCCAAGTTTGGTCTAAGTCAGAATAAAAGTATCATGAGATACATCAAACTATACCTATAAAGCGACATACAACATGTAAAATATGTGCTAAGATGACCCATGATGTAACTGCCGGCTACTAGCGCCCCAGTTAGAATGCTCCAATATTTAGGTTGACCTCAGAAAAGAATTACTCGTACACAATTACCTATAAATCGACATACAACATGTAAAATCTGAGCTAAGTTGACCCATAATGTAACTGCCGGCTACTAGCGCGCCGGTCAGTGAGCTCCAATGTCTATTTTGACCTCGGAAATGAATTCCTTTTCCCAATTTTGCTATAGTTTGATGAATCTCATGATACTTTTATTCTGACTTAGGCCAAACTTAGCAAATAAGTATTCAAAGATATTTTCTTTTATTGCGCGCGCGCGCGGACATTTAAGGCTTTGGAGGTGAATTTTTTGAGCGTATAATTTTTTCAAGAGTATCAGGATAAATGTTCAAGCGCAATTAATGAAGTTAAGATTGATTTACTGTCAAAAAAGTCGTATTTTTTCTCAAAAAGCGTGCGTGCGCGCCCACTTTTTCTCAGATCCGTTCAAAACCAAAAAATGCATGTAATATACATAATTTTAAGCTCGCATGCAAAAAATCAGGCTCCTAGGACAAGTTATGTTTATACACTGTTTAAATTTCCCGGAGAGTAATACGTGTTATGCCCACCCCCTTTCATGGGACCCTCAATGTCCCATTTATATTTGTACCCTTGAAAGCTTTGTCTGATCAAGTATGAATTGGATATCCATGTTTTTTTGTTGAAAATTTATTTTGATTTGCGGTTTCGTTGAAAAAGTTACACGTATTTCCTGCTTTAAAGAATGACTGGAGAAATTAAAAACGACATTAGCTTCGATATTTTTTATTTGATTATGGTTTCAAGTGTATCGTTGTAAATCGAGCATTGCATGGCCGGAGGGTCACTAGAAATTGCGCTTACATTCCCTTTAATAATTTTTTATACTTTTTCTATTTATATTATTGGATCATTCAACAGGACCAAGGTGAAGAGATACTAGGAGGAAAAGAAACCAAAGAGAATCATTCTATTCTGGGTCTTTATCAGGTAATTAAAATTTGCTTATCTATTTTGTGTTCTCTATAAAATGTTGCATTGTAGACAAGGGCCAGTAGTTTTGGTGGCAGAATAGTAGTTTACGGAGACAGCAATTGTATTGATGGGGCTCATCTTCAGAAGGTAAACATATTGAAACCAAAATGATGTAATGGTTCATGACAGCACTCAGGATCCGTTCAATTTTGATGCTTAAAACCTTAAACCAAAAAATAATTTTGTAATTCTTTTTGAAATTTATTTAATTAAAAATTTTTTCAGCCTTGTTATTGGTTAATGGATGCTTTGCTGGAGTATACTAGCGCAGGTTAATATTAGCATTTTTTTAGAATAATCTTTCTCTTGTTAAATGAGTAGTTTTAATCTATTAATCTGTCATGTAATGAATAGACTAGCACAATGTCGGTTGGTTGTGGTGAAAATTACAATTTAAAAGTGACTGAGTTGTTCGTTGAATCATTACAAAAAATAATGCCAGACTACTATTTTAAATTAATAAAGTCATCATAAAACTGTAGAATGGAAATAGGACAGCCCTAGAAGTCTGATTTGATTTAATTTAATCACTTGTTAGTTTAAATTAGTTTAGTCAGCTTGAAACTAGAATGGAAATAGGACAGCCCTAGAAGTCTGATTTGATTTAATTTAATCACTTGCTATTTTAAAGTAGTTTATAGTCATCTTAAAACTGCAGAATTGAAGTAGGACAGCTCTAGAAGTCTGATTTGATTAGATTTAATCGTTTGCTATTTTAAATTAGTAAAGTCATCATGAAACTGTATAATTGTAGTTGGACAGTTCTAGAAGTCTGATTTGATTTAATTTAATCACTTGCTATTTTAAAGTAGTTTATAGTCATTTTAAAACTGCAGAATTGAAGTAGGACAGCCCTAGAAGCCTGATTTAATTAGATTTAATTACGTGCTATTTTAAATTAGTGAAGTCATGATGAAACTGTAAAATTGAAGTAGGACAGCTCTAGAAGTCTGATTTGATTTAATTTAATCACTTGCTATTTTAGATTAGTTTATAGTCATCATGAAACTGTAGAATTAAAGTAGGACAGCTCTAGAAGTCTGATTTGATTTAATTTAATCACTTGCTATTTTAGATTAGTTTATAGTCATCATGAAACTGTAGAATTAAAGTAGGACAGCTCTAGAAGTCTGATTTAATAAGATTAAATCACTTACTATTTTAAAGTAGTTTATAGTCATCCTAAAACTGCAGAATTGAAGTAGGACAGCCCTATAAGCATGATTTAATTAGATTTAATTACTTACTTGACTAACTTCTAGTCCTTTTTGAAAAACATTTATACTCTATCAAAAAACTCTCTAAACTAAAGCTCTAGAACTCTGTCTTAANACTTGAAGCCTTTATCTCAGTAACAATAAGGCTGATTACGGATGCTTTGTAAAAATATTGACTTTCGGAATAATGCAGTAGGGACAAGAAAGTATGTTGATGTTATTGTTTTTTTTAAGATAGAGTGGGTTATTGGGAATTTAGATCTTTCAATGAAGGGTCACTTGAAATTATGTCCATAGAATCCCTTAAACTTTTGCCGTTTTCTGTTGTAACAAACTGCACTGAGGTTTAAAAATTTAATATATTTTTTAGATTGGTTTCTTCCATCCTTACTGTAATGCAGGGGGAGGAGGAGAAAGGGTTCTTTGGAGAGCTGTCAGGTAATTCAGGAAAGCGTAGCTTTTCTCCAAAAAAATTCTACATAAGAAATCGGCAAGATAANGTAGAGACAAGGTATCCTGCAGTTAATATTGTTGTGTATACTGGAGATACTGAAGCAGCTCCAGATCAGATCCTTGCTAAAGCAAGAGATAGGTAGTTTTTTTCACAAAAAATATTTATGATATGATAAGGGTAAAACTTATACTTTTAGATTTTCTTGAGTTTTCGAATTTGTATTTTATATATTTTCCTGAAAAATAATTCTTTTGTAAATAATTTTTGGGTAAAAAGTAAAACAAGGATGAAAAAACTTGCCTTTTCATCTCCAATTTTTCTTTTCACCCTCCGATCTTCTAAAATCATTCCACCCCCGGAGGGTGGGGGCGGGGGTAACTCTTAAAATAGTGCACACCAGTGCTTGGATGTTCATTATTTATATAATATTTCTAGGTTTGATATAACTATAAGCAGTAAGAAGTTAAAGTTTGTCTACTTACATAAACGTAAATATGTTGAAGCTGCCCTTTATCCTTACTTTACTATGCTTGGACAGAGTATAGGATCCATAGTGTTAGGTACAGTATATATGCATCATATTTTCACTGTTTTTAGTTTTTACTAATTAAAAATAACTATGATACCAAGGAGTAAGGAATACAAGGGAGATAGATACAACTGATGCGGCCCGCCCTACCATATGATGATGCATGCTTTGCAGACGGGTACTCCATTTGTAAAAGAAATATTCAGAATAGGTTTTTGTATACGCGGTAATTGTACACCAGACAAATATTTCTTATTCAAATGGAGTACCCGTCTGCAAAGCATCTATAATCATATGGTAGGGCGGGCCGCGTCATTTGTGTCTTCCTTCAATTACATACTCCATGTATGAAACTGAATTATTACTAAAGATGTACAATGTACAAGACTGTACTCAAAGGTAATGTTCTGGGCGATTTAAAATTTGCATAATGGATTGTTTCAATGATGATTTAATTAATAGAGTTGTTCAACACTTACATGAACTTTATTTTAAGAAGATTTATTTGATCATTATTAGATACAGGGTTACCCACAAATGATGAGACTTTAATGACGACCTGAAGTTCTGTTGAATTATCTGGCACACAATTTAAAAGACTTAGAAAGACCAAGAATGTACGAAAGAAGACCGAATAAAATCTGTACAGTCCTATCTGAAGTCTCATCCTTTGTGGGTAACCCTGTATATTTAAGATGTTTTTTTTCCAGGAATCGAAGCTTTACTGAATACTCCTCCTGATATATTTATTGATACTATGGGATATGCATTCACTCTTCCACTCTTTAAGGTTATGAATTATGTAATAATAACAACTAGTTAAAAATAATAAGCATATTGAAGAAAAAATATAAAAGTTCAAATTTAATAAAGGTAGATTGCTGTTTTTTATTAGCTGTCAGCCACTGGGATGCACTACTAAATAGTGTATCTTGGATTGCATTAGTCTGTATGCTGCATGATGAATCCCTTCGCCAAAATGCGGTCTGCCTATTTTCTACTTTCAAAATGACCGTAGATATAAATTATTTCATTTAAAATTAGAATATTTTCGTTTTATTAAATAAAATCAAATCTAACCAAAATACTTTTTATCTCGGGTAATTTTGAATGTACAACAATGGCACACCACATTTTGGAAATGGCAGAACATGGGCCATTTTGTAAAATTAGGTTTATGTATCAATGCCGCAAGCCATTTAAAATATCAAAGACGATTGTAAAGTCGTCTAATTAATTGTCAATAAATTCCGCTTCTTTCTGATTATGAATTTAATGTATATTAGCCTATGTAAGATATCAATTTATGATATGTGTAACTGTCTAGTTATATATGCCTGAGTTTAATGGTCAAAAAACAAATTTTATTTAATAAACCTGTCCTCATTAGCAACTTCTCTTTTCTGTACCAAGTTGTCCGATTGTAGGCTAATTGTAATTCTTATAAAGCCAGAAGCTTCGATTTCACGCAAAAAAAATGATTCAACCCCTAAATGAAGGGTCGTTAACTATATGTTTTGTGCTGAAACTAAGTTTATAATAATTAAATTTTAGTATATATGTGGAAGCAAAGTAGGTTGCTACGTTCATTATCCAACTATATCCACTGACATGCTTCATGCTGTTCAATCCAGAAGGAATGAAAATATTTAGAACACGATTTTTTTCGGAAGATCATAATAACAAAGTATATTAAAAGTAATACTTCTTGTTAAAAAGTTGTATTATAATTATTACTTTTTTCTTAAGTTTTTATATTCATTATTGTAAGAAGCTTCTATCTTCAAAATATATTAATTTTTTTATATTTTTTGTGATTGATTTTGATTCCCCCCAAAATACAATAATATTTTAAAAACAGATCAGCATATAACAACAGAAGAGCTTCTAGATCTCCTATTGCAACTTTTTTAAAGCTCAGGTAGGACAATTCATATCACGGTGTACTAGGGTCAATTTGGATTCGAACCAGACCGACCCTTTGTATCGGCCTTAGTGACGCTCGGCAAGTAACAGCTCGACTTTACTTTGATGGCGCGGACAGACTTTTTACAGTACCCGGCATATCATAGGCTTATTTAAACTACCCCACTAGCTAAGATTAATCCTAATTGTATTTTATCGTATAATTTCTTTTTGGTTGCCAGGGAATCATGATTTCTACGGAACAATGGTTGATTTTTGGCTTGTTTGTTTGTGTGGGCGGGTGGTTTTTTTGTCACTAGAATGACTTCCAGTTTCAAGAAAGTTCTAAAGAAAGGTGGTTTAGTTGGGATTATGGAGTGCCGAGCCCGAACACTATTTCATGAAAGGATAGGATGTGCTTAAATGATATATTGTAGTGGATAAATTTGCTGAACATCATGAATCAATAATGATATATTGTAGGGGATAAATTAACTGAACAAAATAAATCAAAAACGATATATTGTATGGGATAAATTAGCTGAACAACATAAATCAAAAATTATATATTGTAGGGGATAAATTAGCTGAACAACATAAATCAATAATATATATATTGTAGGGGATAATTAGCTGAACAACATAAATTAATAATGATGTTGTAAGGGATGAGTTAGCTGAACAAAATAAATCAAAAATGATATATTGTAGGGGATAAATTAGCTGAACAACATAAATCAATAATTATATATTGTAAAGGATAAATTAGCTGAACAATATAAATAAATAATTATATATTGTAAGGGATAAATTAGCTGAACAACATAAATCAATTATGATATATTGTAGTGGATAAATTAGCTGAAGAACATAAGTCAATAATGAAATATTGTAGTGGATAAATTAGCTGAACAGCATAAGTCAATAATGAAATATTGTAAGGGATAAATTAGCTAAACAACATAAATCAATTATGATGTATTGGAGGGGATAAATTAGCTGAACAAAATAAATTAACAATGATATATTGTATGGGATAAATAAGCTGAACAACATAAATCAATGATGATAAATTTACAAATTTCACTGTTTTATACTGTTATATAATCGTTGCTCAATCTTCTTCAGCATTTTCTTTTTGATAAATCAATAATGAAATGTTTTACATTTGTTATTACTGTTCCTAGATATTACCGGTAATTACTGTTCCTAGATATTACCGGTTATTTGCGTGGCTGTACGGTAAATGTGGCAGTTCTGCGGATGTAGTCATGGTAAATTCAAGGTAAATTCATGGTAAATTCAAGGTGAATTCATGGTAAATTCAAGGTAAATTTCGTCAACACTGTGGTAGGCAATTATATCAATATAATGAAGACGACTTTTATTTCAAGATTTTTTTTGTTAAATAGCTTTTTTCTAATTACAAGTTTACAAGTAATTATAGAGAAGATTTTTTATTGATAGCTTATCTTTTTTTCTATGTTTTTTGTATCCATTCTGATATAAATAGAAATTGAAATCCAAACTCGTCTTTATTGTATTGATATAATAGCATACCACGGTATTCAAATAATAAATTTTACTCTGTCCTTGTTCCATATTTCTGCATAAATTAATACTGTATGACAAATATTTTCAATATTTCTGTTTCCTATTTCCTGTTTCCTGTCGTCCTATTTGTAGTTCAAGAAATCTGAATTATTAGATGGACGCACTTTTCTCTTTTTAGTTTGCATTTGAATGCAGTGCTTAGAATCCTGATTCGTTGGATTCGCAACATTTTGGTTTTTTTTCAATCCGGGTCCGCATATGCGGATCCACGGATCCTGATCAAGGGGCAAAATATCGACCAAATAATGCAAAAAAAATGTTTGCTCTCAAACACCAAATCTAATCTGTTGTAAAAAGATGTTTTATCAAAAATTTCCTTGTTTCCGAAAGTTTTAGCCCAAAAATGAGCGAAAGAAAATATGAAAAATAATTTAAACATTCTTATTTGTTTAACAAATCAGTTAATCTGAAAGAATTGTTCATGGCCTAAATCCCGATCCATTTCCAGAGCGGATACAAGATTCGGATCCGCATCAAACTCAAATGGATCCAAAGCATTGTATTGCATATGTACTTTAGTTTCATCACTTTGTAAATCACTTTTATAAATTTAATTAACAAATTCGTTTAATTTTCAGTTGGACGGAAGAGCATATAAATAGTCTGTGGAATACAAAATCAGTAGCTCATAAAGTTTTTCCACCCTGTGAGGTTTCACATCTAGCAAAGGTAGTTATTTTAAATGCTTTTTTATGTCTAAATAAATTGACTTTTTTCTTTTACAATACTCTCAAACGGGAAAATTTATCAATATAAATTGTTTTTGTTTACTAAATACACCAGTTTGATATGTGTAATATGCAAATCTTTATAAAACACCTTTTTCATATATTTTTTGTTGTTTTTTGCGGACACAATAATGTTCAATGTTCATCATCTGTGTTGTAAGAAATAAATTATTATATAGACGTTTAATAATGGCAAAAATATAGGTATACCAAAAATTATTGATATTTTATAGATACCTCCAACCCGTGGTTCAGCGGAGATCAAGAAGATCATATCATTGGGACAGTTTAGACCAGAGAAGGATCATCCACTGCAGATCAAGGAAACTTTCTAGCATCATTTTTTTATAGGATGGATGGTTTTACTTTTATCTTCAGAAAATATTAGGAATTATCATGTTATTGCTTACAAATTAAGTGCACTGCAGTTTATGGGATGATTATAAACATCAGCAGCACCGTGTTTGTTTACATTCCTCCCAGAAATTGCCGTACACCTTATTTATTTATAAACAAAACTATGGAAGTTTCCTAGATTTTAACGACCCCCTGGACAAATTCCTAAATACGCTCCCTGACTATAAGAATAATCCAGATATGATTGCCGTTATATATTTATGCAGCAGGGGGTTTCAAATATAGTTTGGAATATAACTTTACAGGGGTGGATATTAATATTTTTCGAATATTAACATACAGGGGTAATAAAAACAAGGACGGAAAGGCTTTAAAAATAATAAATAAGCTGAAAAGAAAGAATGTTTGAATTTTCTTCCCTTAAAGTTCACTTTTTGTCTCTTTCAGATCTTCTCTATAAAAGCGCAAGAGTAAAGATCTGAATAAGGGAGGATAACTAATTATATTTTACGGAGTTACACCCTACCACATAGCAAATGACACACAATGTAAAATTAAATTCACAAAGAATAGAGAAACGCAGTGTAAATAATGTAAATCAACTTACTGTACTAGTCAGACGATTTTCATATTTTCTGTGGAGGATGAAAACTTAAAATTGAACACTGCCTATACATTTCATTCGCCTGGGAATATCATTGAATTATTTTAAGTGGATCTTTTTAGGTTAAGCTTGTGATAATTGGAGGATGCAGAGGGAAAGAGGATGAGAAGTTAGTTAAGGCAAGATTTTAGATCTACTTCTGATTTTAAATCTGATCTAATCAGTACATTTTTTTATCGTTTATATTTTTAGGACTTGAAAGATCTCTGTAAATATCTATCTGTAGAAAATAATGTTGAGGTAATTCATGGACAATATTTTAAAAAAAATATTTATGTTTTTTAACATCAGAAAAATCTCAATTTTTTCAAATTAGACATACGTTCCATATTATTTGTGAAATAGTGCAATTAAATACCTAATGAATTGTTAAGTTTCATGTAAACCTTGGTTACCCTGAGCTGCTGAGAGAGTTGGGGGACGGGTTAATCGGTATTCACACGATGTGGAATGAGCACTTTGGTATAGGGATCGTGGAGATGATGGCGGCAGGACTTCTCACAATCGCACACAGGTCAACAAATTCCTAGATTTTATAACCTTCAGAAAATAAAATGGCGTCATGTTTTGATGCCCAATTATCCCCCCCCCCCCTCAGAGCTCCCCCAGGGGTATGGGAATCATTAAAAATATAAACCCATGATGTCTATGGGGGCTTTAAATTAAACTTTTCAGAATCTATAGAAACGTGACCTTGTATCATTTAGTTAGGAAGGTGCTGACGGGCGTGATGTCTAACTCCATTCATGATTTTAGTGTTGCCCTAATAAATAAATAAACAGTAGTAATTTTTTCCAGGGTACACCCTTACCACCCCATTCAAATTCTAAATACTGTTTATATTACTTGAATTCTAGATCTGGTGGTCCCCTGATGGATATTATCATTGAGGAGTCTGGTGCTAGAAACGGGTTCCTGGCTGCAACCCCTCAGGAATATGCAGCACACATAGCATATATAATTAGGTACCTAAAAAATTAAACATATGAATATTAATCATATATAATTAGGTAACTAATATATTAAACATATATATATTAATCATATATAATGAGGTACCTAATATATTAAACATAAATATATTAATCATATATAATTAAATAACTAATATATTAAGCACACGAATATTAACCATATGTAATTAGGTAACTAATATATTAAACATATATATATTAATCATATATAATTAGGTACCTAATATATTAAACATATATATATTATCATATATAATTAGGTAACTAATATATTAAACATATGAATATTAATCATATATAATTTGGTAACTAATATATTAAACACATATATATTAATCATATATAATTAGGTGCCTAATATATTAAACACATATATATTAATGATATATAATTAGGTAACTAATATATTAAACACACATATATTAATCATATATAATTAGGTACCTAATATATTAAACATATATATATTAATCATATATAATTAGGTACCTAATATATTAAACATATATATATTAATCATATATAATTAGGTAACTAATATATTAAACATATATATATTAATCATATATAATTAGGTAACTAATATATTAAACATATATATATATTAATCATATAGGTAACTTAAAGATTTAACACAGATATATTAATCATATATAATTAAGTAAATAATATATTAAACATATATATATATTAATCATATGTTATTAGGTAACTAATATATTAACCATATATATATATTAATCATATGTAATTAGGTAAATAATACATTAACCGAAAGAGGGTGTAGACAGTTGATACTAAACTATTTCAACATTTCAAGTTCTAGTATTTGTCACAAGCCAAAACTTTTTTTTTACATTAAAGAGACTATAGGCGTAAATTCAAGTGACCCCCCGGCCCATGCAAAGATGGCAATGTCCGATTTACAACGGTACTTTGAAACCTTAATCGGATCAAAAATGTTGAAGATAACGTTGTTTGCCTGACTCGAGAAGTGTATATTTCTGATAATTTCGGAACATTACTTGTTATAAGGTAAGAATGAGCAAGCCATTTTTGCAGAGAAACCGCAAATGAAAATAATAGCTTAGAGAAACAAAAACATTGAAACATAATTCACACCTGATTAGATAAATCTTTTTCGTGTACCGTTGTAATTGGGAATTTCCACCTTTGCATGGAGGGTCACTTGAAATTATACTTATAGTCTCTTTAAGAATGCAGCTTATTCGTTTATTGTCTCATCTTATTCCTCTAGTATTTATTATTTCAATCGTATTTTTGTCTAGTATGACCGATGAGGGAAGAGAGGGTGTACGGGAGAGGGCTAAGTCCTCGGTTAACATGTTCAGCAGTCAAAAGTTTGATTCTGGTTGGATTCACGCAACCGATTCACTCTTCCCTAAATAGAAATGAGAATACTCATTTCTCCTGAGGCAGAATTTATAGAATTTGAATGCGTTGCTGAACCGCTAATAACAGGCTCCAATCTCTAATCACATATTAAAATTTCCAGCTGAACCAACCATGCTTGAACCGCGTCTAGACGCAGTTCAAATTCATTAAGTTCGGCCTCAGAATGTTCTAATACTTGAACGTATCATCACAGCTCCATAATGTGCCTTATGTTTTATTTGTTTTTATTTTACCCTTTGCACCACCTCCGTCTCTATCTTGTTCATTGTTGAAACTGGTTAAATTTTTTCTTACCCTTACTGTATTATTTGATCACTTGTGAGATCTTTAAAGGTTAAGGCTCTCTTTTTGATTTTATTTTTTTGGCTGTGAATGGTTTAACGATTTTGGTTTACCAGCTAAAAGTGTCACCTGTTTTGAACATATATCAAGGGCTTGCTAATCTAGATAAAATTGTGCTTGGCCTTTGCGTTAAGTAGACCAGAGACAAAAAAGTTACTAAGAAATCATTTCACTTCCCTTCCTCAGTCATGGGGTCTTGGAACTTATTTTTCGTAATGTTTAGGAAAAAATAACGTTCTTTTAGACAAAAATAACGAATGTAACCATTGAAAAAAAAACTATTCCTAATTTTTTTTACATTTATACATTAAAGGACACCCTTGTTAGTCAACCATGTCTGTCAGCATACCCCTGTAAATCTGTAAACCTGTACCTTTGTGTGTCACTGTTTCTGTTTTTCAGAAATAATGCTCGGTGTTCTGGTCAGGAGATATTCAACTAGACAATCTATATCGGAGATATTGCAACAAAAATCTCTAGGTAGGAGATATTCAACTAGACAATCTATATCGGAGATATTGCAACACAAATCTCTAGGTAGGAGATATTCAACTAGACAATCTATATCGGAGATATTGCAACACAAATCTCTAGGTAGGAGATATTCAACTAGACAATCCATATCGGAGATATTGCAACACAAATCTCTAGGTAGGGACTAGGGATCATCAGAAATAGGGAAATGTAAAATTTTAAAAAAATAATATTGATAGCATAATTCATGATATTTGACAAAATATTTTCTAAGGAAAATGCGATGTTTCTGGATGGGTTCGAAATGCAAGAAAACAGAAAGAAAACACATTTCTAGATTTAACAGATGGGTCATCTTTCACACATTTACAGGTAATTTTGCCACACACCCACTCATTCTCATTTACACAATAAAAACTCTTTCCTTAAATCCGAAGCGTTCATTTGCTTCTTCATTCGATTTAATTTGAGATTTAAATCTTATCCCTCCATCTTTGAAACAAGGTAAACAAATTTTTCTTGCGCTATTTTGCCTGATCATGAACTCAGCAAAGTATATTTTATTCTTATGTTCTAAATTGTGATAGGTTGTGTTGCCTAGTAGTTTGGTTCCTCATGACTTAAAGAACCACTCTGCTCTGAGGTACTTAATCTTATTTAGTATAGAAATTTTAGAATTTTTTTAACCATTTTTTTGGCTTTGACTTTACAAAAATCTGTGAAGGTTTTAACATTTCATAATAATAGTTCATGATAAGTTTGCTGAAGATTTTATTAAACTATTAAAACAAAATATATAATTTTTATATCTTCTCTTAAGGTTGAAATTTGGCATTAGTTATAGGAGAATGAATGTTATGAATTTTTTAAACCTATTAGATTGTTGTGAAAAAAAGTTATTGACCATTAACATAAACACCAAAATGTGCATTCGGCATATACAATCAGTGCTAAAAAAAATATGTGCCATCCAAACTCAATCATGAAATGTCAAACAATAAGTGATTATTAAATCTTTCCTTATCACACGATAATAAATCAAGTTTCTGCATAAAAATAGTTTATAATGAAGCACCAAATTAAAAATTTTCTTTGTTTTAATAAAAAGAAATATTAATGAGTTGGGTCCATTTTCACAGGATCTACATCAAACAAAATGAACCTAGAAGCACTGTTTACAGTTCACATCCATGCCTAATATTTTACATACATGCACATTGCACATGTTAAAGAGACTGTAAGGATAATTTCAAAGTGACCTTCCATTTATAGAGAGGCACGTCCGATTAACAACGATGAGTGCCAGGAGACTCGAGGTTACAGTGTACACTGTACTCTCCGTGCTAGTGTACACTTGCGCGGTTTCTTGGCACTTAATTTCCCGCTATTATATATAAATAAGAATATCTACGAAATCATTGATCAAACAAAGGTTTAAAGGGTATGATATAATAATGATAATAATAATATATATATTTTGGACAAATTAGATACAGAATTACAATATATGTTTATTTTGGATAAAAATGTTTTCACAAAATTTATGCTTGTCATTAGTGTAAATTTCTGTGGACAAAGTCTTAACGACCGTCTAAATTTAGCCCATTTCGTTGTAAATCGGACATGACATTCTATAAATGGAAGGTCACTTGAAATTATGCTTACAGTTCCTTTAAAGGGTGTCCGGAGATTTGATTGCAAGTAATCACAAAGGCCAAGAAGTTGAATTGCATGCTCAGGAAATTTAGGTTTTATTTCATTTATTAAGCTGAAAATTTAGTATGTTGGGTTTTTTTTGCCAGATGGTGGTAATTGTCATACTTTTAACTTTGGGGGAAATAGATGAAATATATGTATTTTGGATATGAAACGTTTTTAAAAGAGGTAGAAAGCTGGCTTTTTTTATAACGTTTTAAAAGTCCCCCCCCCCCCCCGTCGTATGGGGAAGGATAGTATTTAAAATGTGTATTCCTGTAATCTAATCTAAATTGTCTGGTACCAAGGAGATAAAAGTTATCAACAGCTGTGAGGAACCCTACCCACTTCAACCTAGAAAACATTTTAGGAACAATATTTATTGGATTGTTTTATTTGTAAACGTAGTAACTTGTTAATTCATTGAAATTTATTAGATTTGTGGGAAAGGCAGGACTTCAGCAGAATTTAGCGATTTTCTCTCTAAAAGTAATATAAAGCCCGTGGGCTCCTAGTCCTACCATGCCAAATTTTCTACGGAGGTTGGGAATTATGGGATTTTTTAATGCGCCCCTAAATAAATATACGTTAACGTAGTTTGAATTTTGTCCGACAGTTTCCATGCTACAAGAGTAAAACTAACAGTATATCATCCATACTTAGGATACGAAACCGTCTTACTCAAGCAATTCATCAATATTTTCAGGACAATGGTGAGACAATCGGTTTATCATAAATAAATGTTTGCTTGTATTTTGCGGCATTTTATCCCCTATTTTACTTCTTAGAAACACAAATATTTCTTTTGTTTTGTGTTTTAATTCTTTTTTCATACTTCAAAAGGGTTAAAAGGCCCATTTTTCAAACTTATAAATGTACTATAACTCATCTAGTTGGATGCTAATAAATGTGTGTCTTCTTGACTGGAACAAATCTCTGATTGGTCAAATCTCCGTATCTATATAAAGGGTGAGTCAAAAGAAGGGTGAATTGCGAGATTTTGCATACAATATAGCATTTATTTTTGGTATTCTCATTTTTGACAAATATGCTTGACATTTTAGAATTTTTTTTTGAAAGGCATTTTGATAGACCCTTTAAAAGGATTAGCAAAACTATTTTTTACTCAAAATTAGATAAGTAGAAAAACAAAAATGCGGGAATATATTTTTTCTATCACACCTTAAAATTTTAAATAGATCAGAAGAGTAGTTTCGAAGATAATGCGGAAATTAAATTTAAAAAATTTGCTATTATATTTTTGAAAAAATCCTCTCATCCCCATCTTTTTGCTGTATACCAAAGTAATAAATATTCTGTATTCTGTTGAAAATTGAGGAACCAGTACAGAACTTTGCTTCTAATGACTATTTCAACACTAAAATTGTGGATTTTCTGAATTTAATTTCGCGCATTTTCTCCGAAACTACTCATCTGATCTGTTCAGGATTTAAAGGTGTGATAGAAATAAAATTTATCCGCACTTTTGTTTTTCTGCTCATCTAATTTTGAGTAAAAAATAGTTTCGCGGTTTTTTAAAGGGTCTATCAGATTGCCCTTATAAAAGATTAAAAAATTTCATGCATATTTGTCAAAAATGAGACTACCAAAAAATGCTTTATTATATGCAAGATCTCGCTATTTACCCTTTTTTACTCATCCTGTAAGTATATAAAGTTGGTATCTCTATTTGTCTTTTGTTTGTATCACCTTTCATAACTCATGAGCCCCTTGACGGATTTGTTTCAAATTTTGATTGGACAAACCACGGGAATGTTCTTAGCTTGGTTTCAAAACTCTAAGTTTAATTGTTTTTTGTTTTTTCTTGAGCGAAGAGAAAGAACCATATCGTTAAATAGATTTAAACTGCTTGTGACAAGTAAAGGTACAACACTAATACTAGGCACACCCAGCTCTGGGAACTCTGGTATTGTGGATATCGAGGTCAATCTTTTGTTAATCTGTAGATTAATTCAATCTTTATTCGAAATCCCCCGATTGGTACGCGAGATTAAGCACTGTGTCGACTGTGGATATCGAGATCAAGTAATTGGGAGTATGAGTATCCAATACAAAAGTTATGAGCTACGAACGAGCAGAAAAGACTAAAATATGTTTTTTTTTCTAGGTTACATTCAGATCCACACGCCAATTCTTACCTCTAATGACTGTGAAGGAGGAGGTGAAGTGTTCAAAATTACAGAAACTAAATCAAAAACAAAGAATAATAGCGAAGAAACAAATCTAGAATATTTTGATAAGCCTGTTTTCCTCACTGTATCCGGCCAGCTGCACTTAGAGGCAATCTGCAATGGTATATCTAAGGTCAACACTTTTAAAGAAATTATTTTTTTTTAATTGATTTTTTTATCAAATTTTTTTGTTCAGGTTTACAACTTTAATCCCGCTTTTAGAGCAGAAAAAGGTAAAAAAAACTGAATTAATATCCACTTAAAAAAAATAAATCTATAAAATCACTTTTTCTCAGAAGCGTAAAAGATTGATGAAATTCTGCTTCTTTTTACTTTTTTTACTTAGTATTTAATACATAAGTATTTAGGTCGTACGAGACGACATCTGTCAGAGTTTTGGATGGTTGAAGCAGAGATGGCTTTTGTTGAGGTAAGATAACTAAAAACTTTATTTAAAAAAATGTACAAGCTTATTTTTTTAAATTTCAGTTTTTGTACTCCTTCATTGTATTAGATATCCTTCTCTGTCGTGATTTTATTTTATTTTTTCAGGACATTCATGTTTTAATGGACGGAATAGAAGAACTAATTAAAAATGTAACAATTAATTTTCTAAAATACCAAGCCGAAGATTTAAAGTCTTTTGCAAAATCTGCCAAAGTTGAAGATAGAACAGAAATTCTAAGAAATATGGTATCACTTGGTTTCCACAGAATAACATTCACCGAAGCTTGTCAGATGCTCAGTGATGCCGGTCAGTTTGATAAGGTTGTGGATGATTTTTCAAGAGAGCATGAGCTTTACCTATGCAAAAAATTAGGTGAGAGATCAAATATCAGAATTGACAACTAAGTGCTAGTAAGAAGGAATCCTACGAACTAGCGATGTGCTTTTAGTTGGTTCGTTTTTCGGTAGTTTTTTGGCTATATTTTCTTTTTAGGTTAAATTGCAGCCCGCGACGGGGGGGTTTCCCGACGTTCTATGCGTATGTCAAATTTTGACCCTAGGAGAAGATTTTTAGAATAAAGATATTGCAAGGTTGAATAAAAGCAAACTTTAACATAATACAGTTTTGAAATTTGAAGTTTTTGTATTTTTTTCAAAAACCCATCCCAAACCCGATTAACAACAATTCCACTAATCTTGTTTTACTGTTTTCAGGAGGACCAGTGTTTGTTTACAATTGGCCCAGAAGCTCAAAACCATTTTACATGAGAACATGTCAGGAGGTTAAATGTTACATATCTTTACAGTGGCACTTATTTAATAATTCTACAACGATGTATATTTTCTTTTTAATCACTTTCTTTATTATATAGATGTCTATATAGCAAATAGCAAAAGCCTGAGTCGCCAATTAAGAAAAGTTTTTTAAAGAAAACGTCTGGCTAATTAGTTTACTGTAAAACTTTTTTTTACATTTTTCGTCGTCGGTATTGAATAATTTTTAAAAATCCGATTCTCAAAATCATCCCTCCAAAATGAATAATCTATGGGGATTTTAAAGAAAGAATTTGTGCTCTTGTTGAACAAATATGCACCGTAAAAACGTCTCATAGGTCTCAAATTAATCCTAAAATATTTCTCTACAACACTGCATTCTCAGCTCAACTACCAGGTCTAGCCAGACATTCTCTTTGAATATTTCATAACTTCCACAATCTCAGCGTACGAAACAAAATACTCAATGTTTAAAATATTAGGATAGTGATCTAGTATATTGTGTTGACCTTCTTGTACCTGGGGTTGGAGAACTATGTGGCGGAAGTCTCAGAGAGATTAGCGCTACGGCCCTCGAATCTAGGTAACACAGATTACACAAATAGACAGGAGACGACGCAGTCATTCAAGTTCTGAAGCTTTAAGTCACGTCCTCTTTTAAAAAAAATGTACACTTCAAGAATAACATCTTAGGGATTAAAACGGTCCTTGAGTTCTTTATCATGTAAGGGCGGGGAAAGGAAATACATGTAATTTCAAGTCATTTTGTATGGCAATCCAATCCAAAATAATTTTACTGATAAAAGTAATAATAACGAGAAGCTAAAGATCCAGTCTTTATTAATTTAAGTTCTTATGGTCATTAAATTCTTATTTTGATGTTCTGAACTTTTAGGGTAGAAGGCTCCGAGCTTGAATGGTATATTGATATGAGAAGAAAGGGTTCTGCTCCGACTGCAGGCTTTGGATTAGGATTCGAAAGATTAATTCAGGAAGTTCATAGTTTTTATCATTTTTCAACCTTTTATTAAGATTATAATACTTTTATATCAACATGATCCCATAAGTATTTAAACAACAAAACACGGGCATAAAAGTACAATTTTCCTTATATAATGATATTATTTCAATTATAAAAGAATAATGCATAAACAAAAGAATTATTTAGAGAGAAAAAAATGGTAAATTGAACTTGTATATGTACTTTCATGTACTACAGTTAAACCCTAAATGAGCCATATATTGAAAGAATTTATTAAATGTCGTCTTGACAATTTTTCAATGGGTTTTATACTATTTTACGTAAATCTCAGTATTTGCAAAAATAAATAAATAGCCATGAATATGTGGGAACAGTTTTAATCATTTAATTAAAAAACTAAATATCTGCAACATGCCATCATCAGAAAGTGAAGAATACGACATTTGATGAATTCTTTCGATGTATGGCTTATTTAGGTTTTAACTGTAACTAAATCCAAAAAAAAACAATAATAATGATTTTTTGGTGATTGATGGAAATTTTCTTACAAGACCAAATAATCCTAATTAATGGTAAAATCAAAGCATCAGAAATTATGTTCAAATAAGTGAACTAATTTTTATCATTACAATATTCTTTGATTCCTAGTGGTTAAAAGGAATTTTTAAAGCTAATCTTTTTTTAAATAATCTTTTAAGATTGTACTTTCTATTGTTTTACTCTGAACATATTTCTCAGTGGTTGATCGGAGCTGAAAACATTAAAGATACAATTCCGTTCTACAGATCATCGCATGAGTGTCAACTGTAACATATCTGTTGCTAGAACATATACACTGATTCAGATGTCAAATTATACAATCCTAAAAATTGAGATTCTAAAATTACTAAAAAGTCTGAATTGGTAAACACAAGTGTATAAGAACGTCAAAATATACGATTTATTTGTTTTTCAGATTTTTATTAATTAAAATGGGACTTCTCAAACAATTTCACATATTTTGTATTTCTTTATTTCTAGTGACAACTTTAAGGTTAGTAAAATTTAAATCAGATGTTTATGTTTAATTACGAAATATCAAGTGTTTGTTTAAAAACATTAAGTTTTAATTCTGAGTGATGACCTAATTTTGGCTTATTATTCTGGTAAAAGTTTTAATTGATTTTTTGGAATTTTGTTTGAATTGGGTTTGGTTTGATTAGTATTTGATATGAAGCGGGTTTGTATTTTTTTTTAGATTTGTGTAATTTGAGTTTGGTTTGGTTTGGTTTGATTATCGTCAGGTCAAATATTTGAATTAGACTTAATTTTAGCATTATTTCAGGGCTGAATGGAATACAAAAGATTTTCAGAAAAGAGAACACAGTCTCGTTAAACCTTACCAGGTAATGCATCAATGTTTATTATTCTAAATTTTAATTATTATTGATAAATTTGTTGCAGGGTGCAGGGTTTGGTGTTCCGAACTGGGATTTTCTAGGTAGTACAATGGTCACATCTAATTATGTCAGGTTAGAAACTTGAAGCATTTTCTATCACTCTCCCAAAAAAAACAGTACATCCGTTGGATCCGCAACATGTTGGCTTCCTGGATCAAGGGGAAAAATATCAATCAAGAACTGCTAAAAAAACATTACTCTTGAAAATCTAATCTTTAAACTGTTAAAAAATGGAGATTATCAAAACTTTTCTTATTATTGAATGGCTCATCAAATTTAAACATTAAAATAAGCGAAAAAAGAAAAAAAATTAATTTGAAAATTTTCTTTTGTTAAAAAATCAGAAAATTTGATAGAAATTTTCATGATCTGGATCCGGATTTTTCATTGCAGATCCGGATCCGCATCCGCATCAAAATTTAATGGATCCTTAGCACTGAAAAAATAGTAATGGGATATGTGGATATCTTGTTGGGGATGATTTAAAGTGGAATAAAGTAGGAAACTGGATAAAATTACAGAAACCAAGTTTACATCAGTTCATAAAATAACGCAGGAAAATGAGAAAAAAATACTTTCTCCTTTACTCGACTATTTTCTACTGAATGTGTGTACTGTTAAATAACTATATTTTCCAACGGCACTTTAATGACTCCTTACATTTCTGTTTTACACACTGATTCCTAAAATAACTTCACTGTCGAATATAATTGACCAAAACCCAAATAGACAGGTTAAGTGGCCAGGAGCTCAACAATAGTACTCAATGGTAACATTGCTCTATCTTTGACTGTAGGTTGAACGATAATAATAATGATAATAATGCTATGTAATGGATAGGTTAACACCAGACCAACGAAGTAAGCAAGGTGCACTTTGGAACAGCGTTCCTTGTAAAACTAGGAATTGGGAACTCCAGGTTCAGTTCAAGGTTACAGGAACAACTAAGGTAAATAGTGAATGAGTCTAATTTTCAAATATCCTTTCTAAAATAATGTTAATTTCAAACCACTTCCTTATCTTTTACAGCTATAAAACACAGAATGACGAAGTCAACATTGATATGGGGACTTCAAATTTTTCTTTTAATGAGAACATTTCCTAAAACTAGATGTATGTATATAAAGTAGTATTCACTGTTTGTTTGGATCTAAGATCATGACTCAGGAACCGCTTGACCGGTTTGCCTCAAATTTTCATTGGGGAACTCAGTGAAACCACGGAAACATTCTCTAAAAAGTCTACGCTGAATGGGTCGACTTATATTTTAGAGGAAAATTTGTTTTTAGGGAAAGCTACGTTCACTAGCTGGTATATTTATATTATTGTAGTCAAGGGTTTTTAGTTTTTGTCTCATAGTAATTGCTAGAAAATGTGTTGCACAGTTTCATACTGAATCATTTTAATTTGAAAAGTTGTGTTAAACTCACTGTTGTCTTAAAGGACCTATTTGGTGACGGGTTTGCTATCTGGTATGCTAAAGACAGGATGGAATATGGACCCGTCTTTGGAAGCAAAGATCTATTCTCAGGTACAGAAGAGGATTACCAGTGGTTTAGTAGGAGTTCATACACATCTATGTAATGCTCTATTGCTCACTTTTAAATCATTAAATGTTTGCTGTTGGCTTTTAGGCAGTCCAAACTACACTAGTTATTAGTTAAACTTATTATACAGGGTTACCCTCAAAGAATAAGACTTCAGAGACGATTGTACGGAATTTATACTGTATGTTTCCTGATATTCACAATTCCCTGCAACTGTAAACTTGTTTTTTTCTTTCCCAAATCATCATTTAAACCACTAGATTACTATATTCAAGGCCGAATACTTAATTTATCTTTGGAATCGACAAATATAAAGAGTGTTTGTTCGTCTTTACAGTCTCATCCTTTGTGGATAACCCTGTATGACAATGTGTTCCACCACACGTCGTAATACCATTGTTTCATTAAGGTTTGGCTGTGATAGTAGATACATACAGTAATCATAACGGACCACACAACCACAACCATCCATATGTATCTGCTATGATAAATAATGGAACTCTCAGCTATGACCATGACAGGGATGGAACCCATACTATGCTGGGTGGCTGTGAGGTTAAGTTTAGAAACTTTCAGCACGAGACCTGGCTGGCCATCAGGTATAAAATGTTAAAGTAATTTTTAAGTAATTTCTTAATAACAGTTTTTTAATATTTCTATTTATAACAAGTTTTTATTACTGATCTTTTACAAATGAGACCGATCTTAAAGAATTTGAGCTGCATCGCTAAGGTACCTACTGCCGGTTCAAAGTTAAACCACCGATTCAATCGATTTAAATACCGGCGGTAGGTAGTTTAGAGACCCGATTAAAAAATTTGAGCCATGTTTATAACTAGCTGAACTACTTACCGCAAGTTCAAATTTATTCCACCAATTTAAATCCTTCCCTAATCTTTAACTTTGAATCGGTGGCTCAAATTTTAACCGGCTGTTGGTAATTCAGCGACATAGCTCAAATTCTTTAAGGTTTAGACCTAAATCAAATTCTTAAAATCTGTCTCTGATTGTTTAAATCGTATGTTTGATTAATTTATTGACTAGGTATGAGAATGACAAGTTGACGGTTAGTCATGACCTTCATAATAAGAATGTCTGGGCGCCATGCTTCTCTATAGGAACATGATGAAACAATTATAAATCACAGTATATTTTCATTTAAAAAATACCCTTTACAAAGTGATTTTATCCAAAATATTAAAATTTGATGTTTTAGATAAACTTTGAAAACTCTAAATTCAAACCCAAGCTTTCCTGAACAACATATAAAATTAAAAACTTGTTTTGTTGATTAAAATAATTTTAAAAATTTACTTATCTTTTTTTACCAAAAGTACATTTGAAACGACAAAAGTTTGATATTTAGGAAAACCAATTAAAATGTTTTTTTTTATCTTGTAGAGGGTGTTCTGCTACCAACCGGATACTACTTTGGAGTTTCAGCGACTACTGGAGATCTCTCAGGTTAGATATTTGAGAACTATCACTTTCATTTAGAGGCAGGAGGAAATTATTTTGTGGTTTTTATCGAACTGATAGTTTCATGTCATTGCACTTCTCATGTCATCGCACTGTCATTGAAGAAAATTTAAATAATTGTTTCTTTTGTTTCAGACAATCACGATATTATTGCAATAAAAACCTACGAGCTTGATACTGCAGATGGAATCTCAAAGGAAACCAAACTTGATTTAAAACCAAATACATTTTCTACCTTCGAAACCAAACATGATTTGAAACCAAATACATTTTCCACCTTCGAAACCAAACATGATTTGAAACCAAATACATTTTCCACCTTCGAAACCAAACATGATTTGAAACCAAACATGATTTGAAACCAAACATGATTTGAAACCAAATACATTTTCCACCTTCGAAAACAAACATGATTTAAAACCAAATACATTTTCTACCTTCGAAACCAAACTTGATTTTAAACCAAATACATTTTCTTCCTTCGAAACCAAACATGATTTGAAATAAATTCATTTTCCTCCTTCGAAACCAAACATGATTTTAAACCAAATACATTTTCAACCTTCGAAACCAAACATGATTTTAAACCAAATACATTTTCCACCTTCGAAACCAAACTTGATTCTCAACAAGAAACGTTTTCCACTCCTGAAATGTTTTACTGATTTTGAGTTAAAACTTTGTTTAAAAGTATGCTATTTTTAAGAATTCCTATTTTTTTTGGTTTTCTATATGTTTAACTATTCACTTAACATGTAATAAAAACACCTTGTCTTTGTATATATTTTCTTATGTTTGATTTGGATAGGAGGAGAGGGCGAATATTGAACCTCATGCTCAATATTTTGAATCTCCAAGAGATCACAAGGAAATCATAAATATTATTACAGCTATAAATTTAAATATCTAGGCGTTATTGATAATATTCAGGGGTGTATACTTTCCTAAAAAAAAACCCTGAATATTTCTCAATTCCTATAGTGCCATATAAACGATAACCTTTTCTGCTGTGAAGATAAAAGATATTTTTCAATTAAACATACATTTTGAATTTATCACTGCTTGTTATTGTAATGACTATGGATTTATGGTTGACATGTTAATTTTTTTATTTATAATTATTTTTACTAGATAGATAAATTTTAAGCCTAGTGGTGCAAGTTATTTATTATTCTGGCCCTCAATAATATTGATTTGATCAGGCTGATCCTGAACCTAGTTCAATGAGTGGGATGAAAACATTCCTTCTCCTTCTTTTTGGAATTCTCTGCTGCATTGCTTGTGTTGTCATCGGTGTCATGATTTATCAAAACCAACAGGAATCCCGCCATTTTAATAATTTGTTGAGAATTAATCTATATTCGCATTTTTTAATGTTGATTAAAATTGATTTTAAAGTTTAGAATCATTATTTTATGGCGTTATTGTACAGGAAAACTCCAGAAAGAGATTTTACTAAGTTTCTTCTTCTTTTCTCTGGAAAAAAAACTTTGAAGTGAATGAAATGAATATGTTTTAACACCTGATGAATCTATTAGTGATTTAGTCTGGAACACATCTTGCACTTCTGACTGTTTTTTATGAAAGAGACATTGTTTTGTAAATATTATTTTAAAACTCTATTCCATTTATTAGATTTTCTTATCAGAATATTCTAAGGTTTCTGTATTTCTTAACTGCACCCCATCCTTTGCCTTTCCCATTTTTTAAAGCAGACTTTTTAGGACATATATAAAATATTCAAGCCTCCACGAGAAGTCTTAAACAGGCCAAAGTTTTTACTGGGGCATCTGTGTAGTCAACAATTTAATTGGCAATTGTATAAGATTTGTTATCAAGTCGACAACTTGGAATTATGTTTACTTTTCTATTGAGACTGAAGACAGTGTCTCTTGCAATGATTATAGTTCTCAAAGATATCTTCGTTATGTTTAGTGACCACTGTAATTATTATTTACTATTCATTAAGATCATGATTATTTGTATTCAATCAAAAGTTTGAATTTGCGGCCTGCACCGCTTTGAGTTTTTCCTCGCTATTTGTATTCATCTGTGTCATTTAGAATTATTACTCTCTGTGTGATAATCAACAGAATTAAGCCAAGTAAATGCACGCCTGATTAATTTTGAAAGGGGGTATACACCTTATTGTTAAAGTTAGGACAAGGAAAATTTAATACAAGTGCGCCCCGTTGTTTAGTTTAAATGTTTTTTTTGTTTACATCTAATGTTTGCTTTGATTTAAATTTTCAAAATTTGAATCGATTTTGTTTTGTTTAAGATCCTAAGGTATGTGTGACAGTGTGTGCTTTTCTAGTTTAAATGTTTTTTTTCCACGCTCTCTGAAATAAAATTTTTGTATTTATAGAATCTTTTTAAGTCCTAAAATCTGAAAATATAGTTTTCAACTTTTTTATTTCAGTTACTGTAAAGTAATAGACACATATTATATATTTCGAATAGTTTCGTGTTTACAGATAAATGATTTATATTCGTGCATGTGTAAGCGGGTGTTGACTGATGTGGGTCGAATATGATACAAAGAAACATTAAAGTTTTTAAGGAAGATAGATATCGAACCTATATTCCGCTTTCCACTCGATAATCTTAACTCGAACAATAATATATACCAACCCGGAAAAAAATGCATTTAAAAATTTAAAACAAAATCTTTCTATTTTATTCGTAATTTTTGTCTTGACTAAACACTAGTTTTATCTAAAAACTTTCTACAAAACCATAGACAATAAAATAATAATAATAATAATAATAATAATAATAATAATAATAATGATAATAATAATAATAAAAGAAATAATAGATAAATGACATATAGCCGAGTTGCCGTAGGATAAGTCTGATATATATTTAATCTACGCAGAAACGTGCATTGTTACAGATTTAATAGTGAGTCACACAACATTGAAATCTACATTACTGGCAGCAAACTAATGATTTGTTAGTGTGGTATGGCTCGCCCTGAAATATCTAATCTTAAATTCAAGTCTCCATGCAAAGTGTCTAACGGTACCCTTGACACCTTTGTCTAATTTAAAACGTAAACCATTGTCGTGTTTATTTCAGTTTCTCCATTGTTTCAGTTTCTCCATTGCTTCTTACAAGCGAGAAATGCGCAAGTCACTTTCGCAGATGAAATTAAACAATTTTAAGCAACAAAAAATTTGATACTTTATCAGCCAAAGCTTTCAAGGGTATTGATTATTTTTATACAGTCTTTAAACAGTCCAAATTGTCCCGCTCTGAGGGTTGTACTAAAACTAATGCTAACAAAGTAGGGTTAGTTGAGATAATACTATTTTAAATCAAACATGAAGACAAAGGTACTAAAGATAACTAAAAATACTGTTGTAAATTCTTTAAATTTTGGATTTCGACATAAAGAGACTTTTGTGAACACAGAAACACATTAATTGCAAAGATAGAGATATTTTGTTTGAGTCTCAACAAAAGTTATTTTCTTTTAAAAAAGCAATCAGATCTCAATTTGTTTAGCGACCGTTTTGTACAAAATATTATAACCTTGCACATAACTTCTAAAAAGAGAAATCAAAAAAGAAATTGAAATGGAACATTGTTTCATAGAATAAGGCAAATATTTCTTGCGTGGAAACTTGAATAATAGCTTCGAGGTATTAAGAAATGATCTTCTTATTTAATCGCTGGTGTAGGAAGAGGTGCTTCTACAGTTAGTATTCCATCCTACAAAAGGTAACATTAAATATATATTTAGTCAAATTGATTAGATGCAAGGTTGGGGGTTGGATTTTCGTACACTGGTAGGCAATTATATCAATACAATGAAGACAACTTTCGATTTAAATTGTAATTCATATCAAGCTTGGATACACATAAACATAGAAGTCATCAGAAGCCGTCAATCAAAAAGGCTTCTCTTTGATTACTTGTAAACTTGTAGTTCGAAAGAAACTTGTTAAAAATCAAAACTTAAATAAAAAGTCGTCTTCATTGTATTGATATGATCGCTTACAAGTCCGTGCAGTCCTATTACATAGAATTAGTCAAATGCGGGCAAAGACCTATCTCATCTTTGGTAATTAATTAAGTGCCTGTACTACTACTGCCCCATTTAAATAACAACATTTTATCTTGGAAATATTAGCTGAGTTTTCTTATCTTCTGTCATTGAAAAATCTACATGGCAAACAAGTCTCAGAATAAAGATTATTTATGTTTGATGCTTAGTGTCAGAGGCGTATTCAGGGGAGGGGGGGATATTGGGGATCGGCCCCCAACGAATGCTGAGCCCCCCCACTAGAAAGACAAACAAAATTTCAGCCCCCACCCCCATGGACAAGTTCCTTAATACGGCCACCACCCCTGGACAAAATCCTGAATATGCCCCTGCTTGTTGTATACTGTAAGAAAAACCACTTCAAAAACCTTGGATAAAGAGGATTTGATGAGTTCTGGGTCTGTACCCTGGGGAAGAAGAAATTCCCTGTTGTACTCTCTATACACAGTTCTAAAATAATTATTTATCAATTTTTTTAAATAGACTTTTAGGGCGCTTCCCCCTATCTAATAACAAATTTAATGTTTAAATGTTGCTTTTCGACTTCAAGTGACCTTTTTTTTCTTGCAAATGTAAAACTCAATTTTTCGCGGATTTCTCTGTTATCTGGTGTATATTTAAAAATAATGTCGAATTTTTCCCCTGTTTGTAGGGTTCAGACTGACAACATACAGCTTAACAGATGTATACACATGATATTAGACAAGGAAGAAAGAAGAAAGACATTGAAATTCAATTTCATTTTCAAGTTATTACTTTTTTTTTCTTACGCTTGGTAAACCCAACAACCGAATTGATCTTTTTGCATTGCGTGATGCGCTTAAAGAATGTGAAAGTAAGAAACCAATTCCGATTTACTTTTAACCTTAAAGACGCATGCATGCAAAAAGAATGCAACCATTTTATCAAAAAAAGGGTACCTAACTTATTTAGACTAATTATGTTACCTGCCATTAGAGTTCTCTTCATGTTTAGCTTGAACAAGAAGTTTATTATCTACAGTTTTCACAATAATCTCTTCTGGAGAGTACTGAGAAACATCAAACCTTTAAATAACATTTTAAACGGTTAGAAAGTGTCTTGTAGGTTAATTGTTAATCCTTCGAAATTAGTTTTTCACCCTACTGTCGATATTTCAAGTTTAATATTTTTCTGCCCCCTCTTATCTATGGTTACTTGATAAACAATAGACTTGCCTGGCAAGTCTTCCCGCAACCCCCTACATTAGAGGAGGAGAGGTGGGGTAGAATAAAGAGGTCGTAGGACTAATGAAAGCCTTTAGGAGACTTTGGATAAAATAACAGAAATTCAAATGTCAGGGGGGGGCAAAAAAACGCTCAGGGAGGGGCAAAAAACGTTTGCGCTTCTCACCTCCCCCCCCCTGGCTATAATCCTGTGTACGCGCCTAAGTTTATAGAGTCTTACTAAATTTTCTACAAGTATGTCTTAAGAGTATGCACTCCAACAGCCTTCAGCATAAAATGTCTAAAATCTCACTGGTGTCTATAATAATTATTTTAGTTTCGATGAACAATGAACCTTGTCCAAGATGTTTACCTGAGTTTCAATTCTTTCTCTTGAACCCCGCCCGCACTCACAACTTTATCCTTGAGAAGAGGAGAGTTTAAACCCTGAAATAAATTTTATGAAATTGTAGTGTACTTTATCATTATTACTCACTTTATCGTGAATTTCATAATAAACGTGCAATAAAGTAATCATCGTGCTAAAATATTAAATTAGCTGTAAAGTTTTGATTGATTTCCAAAATACTTTTTCGATATCTCGAAGGTTCTCGTTTTTTAAGATTATATTTTGTCCCCCGCTAAAAAGGCTTGAACCTTCTCGATAAAGAAAAAATTTCTGTCCAAAAACTTTATAACACTGCAAACCAAAATAACAGTGTTATAAATAGTTATATATCTATAACAAACTTATTATTGAACTGACGAACAACTCTTTTCTGAATTTCTCGACAATGTAGCAAAATTTTAAGATACAAAAAATGCAAAAAACAATCAAGAACACAGTAACATAAATTTCACTAGTAAGGGATTGTTATTTGGCGTACCGTCCCGTTTTGCCCATATTGTCTGTATGTGTACTGTACAGCTTGCTCTACCAGGTTCAAAGTCGGCCCTGTACTTGATATGAATCGGGTTTAAAGCGCGTTTTTTCATTATTTCATTTCAATATGTACAATAGAATTTTTTTAATGATTACCTGAAGCCAGGCTGAATGGCCTCCAAGTCCTCCTGTGACTCCTGGAACTAGATCATGATCTCCGGTAGATGTGCTAAAAATTAATTTTTTTAGCTAAAAATAAACAGAGGAGGAATTTAAAACATGCATGGTTCCACTTGAAATTGTATTCAGTGTTTGAGATTTGAGCCGGCGCTCAATTGGCGGTTCAGTGACTCGGTTCCAATTCTTTAATTCGGCCCCAGTAACACCAATATAAATTGAGAGGGATAAAGATGCATTGGCGAGCTAAATTTGAATCTTGGTTTGTATTCAAAATAAATGAGAAAAGGAAACTGACAAAAAGTGGAAACAAATGCGACATTATGTAGTTTTTGTCAGTTACAGGAGAAGCAGAAAGTCTTTCCAGTGAATCCAGTACCCATCCATCTTAAAGGGAATGTACACGAAAAAAGGGGACTGAAAGCTAATCACTTTAGCTCTTGATCGCGATCCATGAAAGTTATATCTGATGTTCCTGTCTCGAGAAATAGATGTAAAAATGTGTCAAATTTATACGAAAATTCATATAGATGTAGTAGAACTCCCACCAATCAGAGTGCAGTATACTGGTCACGTGGCTTTGACTGTATCACGTGACCAGTTTACTGCACTACCATTGGTGGGAGTTCTGATGACGTCATACGGACTTCTCTATATCTCTATATCTATTAACAATAAAAATAAAAATCATAAAATAATAATTGGAAAAAAACCTAAGTTACAATTAGGTTTCTCTGGGATATCTTCGTTTTCAGATTGGTTATTTATAGGCTGAATATGATCTGTTTAAACCTACCATTTCTAAACCAACTTATTCATGTGAATTTTTGTATAAATTTAACAGTTTTAAATCAATTTCTCGAGACAGGAACATCAGATATAACGTTCAATGGGTCGCAATCAAGAGCTTAAGTGATTAGCTTTCAGTCTATATCCCCTATCATTTTTCCTTTACAGTTTCTTTGAGCCAGTAAGAATTCTTAAAGATAAAAAATAAACAGGATAACCCACGCACAAAGGTTAACCCTACAAAGTGTAACAAATTAAATTTAGATAAAAAGATAATAATTAAAAGAAATTACAGCAAAAGCCTTAATAAAAAAGTAAAATGAACAACTTACAACGTACCTAAACATTTAAAAAAAATTTTTTTTAAAAAGCTTTAGTTTTCTTTTTCTTGATTGTAATCTTTTAATGATCACTTATATTTACCTCACCAACTATCTTAAATTTATGTAGCCCTAGAGATATGCATTATAAATTTGAAACGCGCATTTTTCTAGCTTAAGTTAGAAAGGAGTATTGGGCAAAATACTGCTCAATTTTTGCAATTTTAACAGTAAGGGTAACTATAAATATTTTTAATAAATCTTTTCTTTTAAGGCTCATTCTTTAGGGGTAACACTGTATAATGAATGATAGTTTATAAAATCGTAATTGAAAAGTAAAATTCTACAAAAATACAAAGTGTAAAAATGTAAATAGGAATTTTACATAAAAAGATAATAATTAAAAGTGACTACAAGCAAAAATCATATAAAAAAGTAAAAATAAACACCTAAAAGAAAAAAAACTAAAATCCACATTTAAATATATAAATACGAAAATTATGGTTTAAATAATAAATTGCTAATGCGAAACATATGTATGTAAATAAAAGAGTAATAAGGATTTTTTTTGTTATCTTTGTAGCCTGCAGTAAGCCAAAGAAAATTGTTTGCAGGTTCAGGTTGCATGATTTTTCCGATTCTCAAAACGAATACTAAGTATTGTGCCTTATTGATCCATTTAAGTATTTCTTTTGCACAAATATGGTCATACTTTTGGCGCAATGTAAATGAGTAAATTTATCGCGAATTTTTATCCGCAAAAAGTGGTATTTGCGTAAACGACTTTGCATACGACTATTTTGTAATTTCGGTGAAAAAATCTAAATTGTATTATATTGATTGTGACTTTTTAAACTATCTTTGCGAAAGAGGCGTAAACCTTTATTGGCTATATGATGTTTGTGCGCGTAAATCTAGTCAAATTCAGATATTTTTTAACATCCTAAAATGCAAGAATTCATAATTATGGCTAAAATAAAATAATCGACTATTCCCGCTGTATACTGAAAAACTATTAAGATATTTTGAAATTAAAATTATTTAAAAATGGGATGCAACCAAACCAAACTAAAGTTGCAACAAATGAAAAAAAAATCTAAAGGGTTGTGCCTAAAATGGACTGTAACCGTAATTTCAAGTGACCTTCCATTTATAAAGATGCATGTCCTATTCACAACGGTATCCTTTAAACCTTTGATCGGACAACGATGAGGGATATCCTTTATTGTATAGCTGAAGAATGAGGGCCGGGAGACTCTAGGTTACAGTGTATACTGTACGCTTCGTGGTAGTGTACACTCGCGCGTTTTCTTAATCTCCCGCTATATAAATAAGAAAATCTTTTATCTACGAAATCCTTGATAAAGCAACGGTTTAAAGGGTATAGTTGTAAATCGGACATGTTACTTTATAACTGGAAGGTCACTTAAAATTACGCTTACAGTCCCTTTAAAAATAAGAAAGCATGCAGCTTGGTTTAAACCTTGACATGAAGCTTGATTTTGATCCTTCAACTT